CATATTTACCCTTTCTCCAATTCCCAATCCAATCATTTTCGTTCATCCTCAAAACCCTTCGTTATCAAACTTTCGCTCTCTTATCAAGTATCTATCTACTGTCCACACATCTGGTATCATCCTCTGCACATCAATCTCCTTATCCGTCCCGCGCATCCGAGCCGAAGCCCTTGGCCTGACGCGCCTAGCCTGCGCCCTGCATATCAGCAATATTTTAAGCTTCATTGCACGAATGACAATTGTACCTTCCGCTTTAATGGATCTTGATACCGATGGCCCGATGTGGAAATCAAGGAACAAAAATCATGATCCGAAAATATCGGGGTAATGGGGAACGTTGAACATATTATTGGGGGTGAGCGAGTGTGATATATATCAGATTTATATATGCATGTAAGATGTAGGATTTCTGTACCTAGATAGCGTGTGTCGAGATACTGAAGATGCAGAAACCGGATTGACATCTCGCAAAGTTGGCACGGTGAGCGTGAGTTGGAGATGCAGGTGGCAATGGAATGTGAGGGAGTTCTGGAAGGTGTATAAAGATATCATTTTGTAGCAGTCTAGTTCAAGATCATTTAGAAATCTAGAATTTAAATTATCACATCGCTCCATCCACCAACCCAAGAACAGAACATTTCTCAACATGCGTCTCTCAATCTTCCTCTCAGCTAGCAATCTCCTGCTCACTCACCGTAAGTCCCCAACATCGATATCTCATTCCACTTCATCCAAGGATATCTCCATCTTCACCACACTCCCAAACCCTAACATACCCTCTTCCTGTGATAGTAACGGAAGCATGCTACTTCAACGTATACTCCACGACCGTTGGCACCTTCGAAGCACAACACTCCGAGCCCCTCGACCATAATGGTGCACCCCAGACCCTCACTGGAAAATATCTCACCTGTTCTTTCTCTGCCGATCTAGCCGGTGGATGTATCGTAACGGTCAAGACCAATGTTGGGTGTGGGAATTTGACTTTCGAGAGGATTGGTACTAACTGAGCTTGTCTATGGATGGAAGGCTAGCGTAGTCGTGGGAAGTAAGGGTGTTGGTTGTATGCTCATGATGGACAGACGAGGCTGAGAAGATGCTGAACTGATGATGCTGAGTTCATGTCAGTAGACTACGAAGTCCGCAGGCGGTCAGGAGTCTTAGTCGGGCGGTGTAGAATAAAGTCTCAATGATATGGTAACTAGCTCGATGTGCCTGCATACGAAAGAAACTAGCTTAACATTTTCAAACCTCAATGAACCTCATCGCAAACAATGTACTACTCAATCTAGCAAGAACAAAAAACAAAACCAGTAATGGTGATTCTTGTTTCTTTGAAAATGGAGCTAATAAAAGCACTGCCCACCGCCCAGCAACAGTCAATAACGACGACTATGACGTAGACCGCATGTACAGATGTCTTCCGTCGCAAGCCATGGAAATTTCGGGCGCTCCGGCGACGCGAATGCGATGACTAGGCGCGCACGGCCATGGAGAATAAAAATAATTCGTATCCATATACATCCTACCTGATGCTAAACTGAGAATACGATAAAACCCTCCAACTTCTCGATCTACCATCACAGCGCCGATGATGTGCAGCTCATACAGGCCTAGCAGTTTGCAGCATCATGATACCAGTGAAAACGTTTCTATGTCCACACGGCCCACCAGAACGCCAATTCCGACCTATACCCCGCTGTCTGTGACACGGTTGAGAGTCTGGGCAATTTATTGGGAGCATTTGTAAGTTATATGTATTGGATAATAAGTATGTGAATCCAGGATCTAGAATGATGGGGATCACAAGCTCAATAGTCACTTCCTAATTTGCATCATCAATATTGTCAACGTCCGAGCATATTGACCTAAAAACAGTACTTGTGGACAATTCTTCATCTAAATACAACGTGATTGGTACCAAAAAAAAGTGGGAAATATCCTCCATAGCCTTGGAAAAAACAGCCGACGGGGTAATCCCCACTGAATAGAGATAATGTAGCCGAAGGCTTATGATGACACTGTCGATCGATGTAAAAGTCTTTCAACACCTAACACCATTCTTTCTTGGTGCCAGACCACTGGTAATATTCCACCCATTCATGTTTTCCCAACGGTCCTCCAAGGATCCTTGGTACGTTTCACCAACGTCGGTTAAAGATTGACTTCACGTTTAAATAGACTTCGGGGAGGTAAGCAAAAGGCTATCATCGACTGAAAGCAAAAAGTCTCTTCGCCGAACCATTTTGGAGCAGGATTTCCGCCGGAGCCGATGATTGCCAGTGGGATTCTTCAACTACCCTACAGTCAGGACGCCATGATGTTTTTTATCGATGGAATAAATCTCCGAAAAATAGGTTTATACTTTCTCCCAGAAATGAAAAGTTCTGTGTGCGAAACAAACTGTCCGTTCGCATGGGTGGCGTTCCTCCAGCACCAATCAAAAGTTCAATTCTGATCTCAACTCGACTATACTTTCACGTACGTACACAACGGATGAAAATGATGTACTTTGTATAATTTCTTTTTGTCCGCGCATATTTCGGTAACAGCTCGTTTGTGGGGAAGACGGAAGTGGTAACGGGGATCCGGAGAGGAAAGTCCATCAGGGCTTGGACCATGTTGAGTAAATCCAGGGACAGGAACGTGTGATAACTCTATTTGGTGATCTGTCCTCGCCTTATGAAAGATATTTTGAAGCAAATACACTTGTATCATCAACATCTTTGAGTTCTTTTGCGTAGGTGGATCATTGTCGCTGTCGTCTCTGGTCTTATTTGATGGCCGGTTTTCACTTTGTAACTTGCCATATGCACTTAACTGCAAAATATAATTAGGGGTGGTTCTTGCTTCATAAGCCAGGGATAAAAATTGAGAATACAGGAAAAATTGTGACATCGACATCAAGTCGAGTTTACTCTGCGCTGACCGTCTTGCTCGCGCCTGCATTTCTTCCAACCCAACACGTATGAGATGTGATGATCAAGGGCTGGGCAAAGAATAGGTTTGGGCTTAGAAGAGTATAATGTTGAGCTGAGGCCACCAGGACACACTACCCCGGGTTTGGAGGCCAGTGATAGAAGATGGAGGTCTAGATCCACAATCAGGACACTTTCACAGACTTTCACTGCGAAACGGGGAAAACCCAAACTTTACAAATGCCGCGATGAACCAATCGTCACACAATCCGCCATAGCACCATATAACGGTATAATGATCGACAGTAAAGCAGAGCTTTGGGCAGAAGCACGAAGATGCAGGCACTGAGACCAAACTCCTTTGAGAACGTTCTCGAATATTGACCTTTACGGACAATATGTTTCTGGAAATTCGCCGAGTTTGACAAGCGGACATTTAAACTTTTTCTTCTCTTGAAAAGTTTGATATCCAAAGACTGGGCTATCTCTGAAATAAAAGGTTTAATTGGAAGTCCGTTCTCCAAATATCTTCTGATTAATGTGTAAGCATTACCAAGACCACTGGTTTGCCTGGGGATGCGGTTATGGCTCTTCCGCAGTCGTGGAGGTCCCCGAAGCTGCTTTTCATTGGACGTTATATGCGAGGACATGCTATTTGAAAATCTGGACCTCATACATCATCTAGCTGTGGTGGCATCTGCGTAGACGTGATCCATTCCTCCATCATTACTTGACCTCCATTGGCGGCTGGAGCTTTGCCCTTTTTGTCTTTCCGTTTGACCACCAAACATAATACGCGACCATTCACTGAGAATCCATCGTAAGATGTATCCATTGCCATCTTCTTTTTGTCGTCATCATCCTCTGATACTTCTCCATCTTTCCGACGTTTCGCTAGAGGACCAAAATCAGATTCTGTAGATTCCCGTCCAATTCTCGAACGTTTTGATCCGCGAGGCCCTTCGTCTTCACTAATGAACAAATCTGAATCATCTCCTACTTCAGGTATGTCTTGTAGAGAAAATGACTCTTCGCTTGCTTCTCTCACAATAGCTGGACCATCAGCTACATCAATTGGCGCATCATTCGTATTGCCAGTAAGTTTGTCGGAATTCGACTGTAAAGCTTTCTTGTTTCTATCTCGAAAATGCTTGTTTTTGAAAATGATAGAATGCCGTGTACTGGTTTCCGTCAAAAATATCGATACTTCGAAGTCCTCTGCCAATATTGTTAATGGATGTTGCGTCGTTGCAGACATTCTCAGCGATTCCACTCACCATCACTAACAACATCCTTCACACCCTTTTTCTTTCCTTTCGACTTGCTCCTTTCCTGCTCCTCGCGCAACTTTGGCAGAACCAGTGGACGAACTTTCTCGATGACTCGGGGCAAGATTGGGTTTCTTGAATTGAGTAGCCAACTTTCTGCCAAAGCTGGATTATCGACATATATGCGACATTCGAGGACAGAATATTTGCTAATACGCAGATATCTACGTATTGGCGCCATTGAATAAGAATGTGTGTGATGATGTGAATAATTTTGTCGTGGTTGTATCTGTTGTGTTTGTATTTGGGAAGCCTTGTACAAGGCTTGAAGCTTGAAGCTTGTGATTAACCTTCAGCCTTGCTGAAGTCTCACTGACTGGGGTAAGCTATTTTTTCCTTGTAGAGTAGAAATCCATTGAATTTATCGCAAACACGTCTAACACGTCGGGTGAATAGAGAATTCATTGACATTGATTCATCTTCATATTCCTGACTGTCTGATAGTTGACTTGTTTCCACATTTCAATCCCTCTGAAGCTCTCCTGTTAACCCCTTGAGAATAGCTCAAAGACAAAAGGTTATCGATAGTGTGTGTCACCTTGCCAGATCGATCGCCAATATGGATATTACAATTCGATAAGTTCTTGCAAGAAGCACACGAAATTTAGATCGCAAGTAGATTGAGCCTCGCTTCTGCGTGTAGGTATACAGAGTAAGTCTTGAGACGATAGGGGTAATCAACCTCGACAATTCTGTAGCTTGAATGCTTGGTTGGTTTCAAAACTATAGCTACACTGCTATTCCATCAACTTCGGCGTGAAATATTCATTTGTACCACTGCTTTCTTTCGACACCCATTGTAACATTCTTCGGGTTATTACGGACTTTCGATTGTGTCCGCCATCCGCAATCCGCAATTTCAGTGGAGGTGAGGTCATCTTCGCCAAGCATATCCACACAGCGCCGTATCATCACGATATCGAATCGATATTGAATACTCAAATTCGGAGGAAATCGGTACGGAATTCTCACCGTGTTCATTTTAACTCCTATTGTATCGTGATCATTCAGTGAAAAGTTTCTCTGGCATTCGATCTCTGATTTCCCTCTACAATTTGAGCCTTTTAGACTGGTGGATTGCACGTCAAAGGGAGGAATATTATATGATACATGATGAGTTATAGTTTAGCTACCTCGAAAACCAGGGGCTCGGCTTTGTATGCTGGAAGCCTACCCAAAATCCCATCGTCTTTCAAATGTGGAAAGGTAGCGGGCTTGAGTGCCGGTGCAAGATGTATATCAACACGTGAACTCGACGCTTCGAAAGGCGGTTCGTATCCTCTCTATTTGATTCTTGCCCGTCCATACATATATTTCATCTCTTTCATTTTTTCGAAACCCAGTATTCAATACCCATTACACACCAATTCGCCTACTAACACATACAGACCGTGAAAGAGTCCTGATTCTTGGCTCGGGCTGGTCAGGCTTCACACTTTCTCGTCAACTGGATCCTAAGAAATACCAAACAGTTGTTATTTCTCCACGGTCATATTTTGTGTTCACACCATTATTGGCTAGTACAGCTGTTGGAACATTGGAATTTAGAAGCGCGCTTGAGTGAGTATTTGGATTTCTCTTATGGTTTTTGAGAGGGGTGGGTGCTTTAGTACAAGGTTGATAAGAGATATTGAGGCTTGATTGTTTGGGGTGGTGACGGATGCGGCCTTGGATTTTGAATATCTGTGAGGTCAGGACTTCATGGATTGTTGCTAATACGCGATATTTAGGAGTGTGAGAGGCAGAGGAAGATGGAGAGGATGGGGTTTAGTAGGTGGCGGATGGGGTGGTTGGGGAGCGAGAGGGAATGGGGTCGAGTTTTGGCAGGGGGTGAGCCGGTCTATTTCCTTTACTTGACAATGTAGTGACTGGGGTCCAAATGTCCTCAACTGCTTGTCTACCAAAGAACAGGATTCGCTTTGCTCTATCATTTTTCCCAAAATTGAAAGTCACTATGGATTACTAACCAACATCACCATCACAGTGGGCAGACGACGTAAACTTTGATAAGAAAACTATCAAAGTAGAAGAAAACGCAATTGAGAGACCCAAAACCGCTTCCACAACAATAGAAAAGAAAGAAAAAGGAAAAGTGTTTGAAGTGGGCTATGATAAATTGGTGGTTAGTGTTGGATGTTATAGTCAAACATTTGGGATTGAGGGGGTCAGAGAAAACGCATTGTTTTTGAAGGATGTGGGGGATGCGAGGAAAATTAGGAAGAGGATCTTAGAATGTGAGTTCAATTCTTTTCGAAGGAGGTTGGATGGACGAAGAGAAAGCTGCTCTCATGAAACCAATTTCCTTTCTCAACATCTCGCCAAATCGAGTTCAATCCCCTAGAGCGAAGCGAAGAGACCTCGACGCCAGTAGTCAATTGAAGCATCATTCAAATAAGAGGAATAAGCAAGGATGGAAGAAGTTGGGGGGACGAGAATAACAAGTACTGATTCTCCAAATCACAGGTTTTGAAACAGCTGCGCTACCAACCAGTTCCGATTCTCTGAGGAAACAACTTTTGAATTTCGCCATCGTAGGCGGCGGTCGTAAGTTTCTTTGTTTACCCCCGTGATCTCCACTTAACACTTGTCTAGCAACTGGTGTCGAATTTGCAGCCGAACTCTTCGATCTTTGTCATGAAGATCTCTCCACTCTATACCCTTCTTTAACCCCATTCATAAAGATAACAATTTATGATGTTGCGCCAAAAATCCTTCCGATGTTCGATAAAAATCTTGCAAACTACGCGTTGGAACATTTCAAAAGAGATGGAATTGAAATTAAGACTGAACATCATATCTTGGGATTGCGAAGAGGATTGCCCAAGGAAGGAGAAAATGGAGAAGACGCAGGAAAAGGATTCACATTAAACTTGAAGGAAGAAGGTGGTGTAGGTGTGGGAATGTGTGTTTGGAGTACGGGATTGATGATGAATCCTTTCATTGAGAAGGCGTTGAGTTCGGTTCATACTTTCCCTACTCAATCTGCTATTATGGCTGGAAGCGATAAAGAGAATAGTATGGAGAGACCGGAAGATAAAAAGTGGGAACTGAAAAGAAGCCCCAAAACAGGTGGATTGATGGTGGATAATTTCTTTAGGGTTAAATTGGCTACTCGTTCATCTCTAGACGGAGCAAAGCAAATTCAACAAGAAGCAACGATGAATGATGTCTTCGCATTGGGAGATGTAGCGGTCTTGGGAGATATGGGATTACCAGCTACTGCGCAAGTGGCAAACCAAGAAGCGAAATGGCTCGGAAAGAGACTCAATAAGATGGACAAGGCAGGAAAGATAGGACCTGCTGAGGATAAAGGGTTTACCTTCAAAAATATGGGAGTTATGACTTATGTCGGGGGTATGAAGGCGATTATGCAGACGGATGGAAAGGGAGAGATTAAGGGGTAAGTGGAGTTTTGATTCGCTTTTGAGACTTAATATTTGACGATATCTGCAAAGTCAGAAAAAATTCTTGCGGATTCCATTGCTAACAATACATCTAAATATAGGAGAGCAGCATGGATAATCTGGAGAGGTGCATATCTAACTCAAACAATCAGCTGGAGGAATAAGATACTCATCCCTATGTATTGGTAAGTTCTCATACTCCATTTCATTACTCTCATTGAATTTCGTCGGGGAATGAACTAACAATAACAGGGCAATCAATTGGTTGTTTGGACGCGATATTTCGAGGTTTTAGCGGACTATAAAGATATGCTTGGAAAGATTGGATGAACCGAAGATTGAATAAAAGGACATGGATAGATTAAAAAGGAAAACTGCATAGCTATGGATGACTTCGCGGGAAGGCTGTAACATATTGTATTTTTGTGTATTTTTATAATGAGGCTAATTCTACTTTTTATTCTATGTTCGCACGGATTACATATCGAAGTGGAGGAATGACTGAAGCGGAAGTCGCTGCGTCTTGGGTTTAGTGACATACATCTTGCTTTCTGGTTTCCCCTTTTTTTCTGTCTTAGGGAACCGACTAGTGATACTGCACTGTATAGTCCTACATTAAGATGGAGATCTCGTTCATAATGCGCCACAAGGCGGTTATGTAAAGTCAAAGTATGATATCCAAGAGGCCAACAGCTATCCAACAACGGTGATGAATAATCCGGCCGTTCAACGCACGAAGAAAGAAGAAAGAATTCCCATAATATCCAAGAAATAGATTCCGGTCATGGATCTAGGATTTGGGGGTTGATTTGCAGTTCCGATGAGATTACTGAGATGGTATGGCGACGTTGATGGTTGGCAGTGAAATTGTATGATCAGTGTGAGAGATCCGATAGTGAAGGGACTTCAGTGATGATAGGTTGTCGCTTTCTATCTTGATTTGCCGTCGTCGGTGAGTTTCATTGTCCGGATCTCGAAGGTCTGAAAGACTGGTATGCCTGTAGTTATGTCAAAGTTTGCATGGAGAGGAAAGTTCTAGGTAGCATATCATGACGGTTCTGATCTTCCTGTTGCTATTGATCATGGTGGCTCTTCTCTACTTAGTGGAAGAGGAATGCTTGTAAGAATGTTATCTTTTAAGCTCTATGAAAATTCAGATGTTGAGGTATGCATCATAGAGAATAAAGAGAAATTCACTAAGGATTAGTACTTATGAAATAGATGTGAATGATCACCCTCAAATCAAACTCACCTATCACCACTTGATATTCGCTAAGCGTATATCTGTATTGGAGGGTCTTGAGATCGTCAGCTTGAGACTTCTATAAAAGGGCGTAGATACACGAAGATTCAATCTGGTCATCATTCTTAGCCACAATGGTATTCAAGATAATTTCTTTACAGTATTATGAAGTCAGTGGTTATAAGAAGCATGATGTGGCATATTTAATTCTGACCTGATCTACTCGGGTTTGAGCGCGTGATTTCTCCTCCTTTTTAGTCTTATTTCCTTCTTGGTAACTTCGTTGTGGTTGGCTGTAACTTGCGTCCGATTACCTTATCAAGTGTAATTCAGAAGGAGTAAATAATGTTGCATGTGGATGATGGCGCAAGTGAGAAATGGCTCATACGTAGATATCATGAACGTCTTAGCTCTACTCTTCCGGTCCTCGAAGCTGGGAGTTACAGGTGAGAAGAGTGCAAGCACTCTACATATTTATAGTTATCTTAAACATTATTCGGTTAAGACTCTAATCGAGATACTATAGAGTGAATAACAGATACATATCTCAGCACACTAATAGCCTTGGGTTTGGCAAGGAGTGGTTGTATAAAGACCACACAGACAGGAAATTTTTTGACATAACATACTATTGGCTCCAGTGGTGCAAAGTCTCAAGAAAGCTTGTGACAAGCACCTTCCGCAGACTTTTCGCTTCTTGGAAACCTCATCGTAGATATTGGATTACGACCGGGGGTGAAATGACAAGAAACTATTGGCACCGAGTTGTTAAGATTAAATTGAAGAGTGATGGCAGCTAAATGTAACATTCACCAAGTTCCCGTCGAATAATGTGAGAAGGAATGGCAGGTTCAATGAGTGGATTTTATTACACTATCGTTGGAAATTTCTTGTGTATTATGTTTGGAATGATAGTGGGCAATAGATTCGATAACGACAGCGACAACTAATTTTACACTCCAATCTCAAAATACCCATCATCACAGAAATCTCAAGACTTTTTATTAATGGATTCATAATCTTCTCTCTAACTACCACTTTCAATAACTGGAGATCATCCAGTGCAACGACACTCAGCCTTTTAACTCTCTGATTTGGTTATTTTCAGGTCACTGTGTATTCAAACTCCTACTTATCTATCTTTATATATACCTCTCCACATCCCGATGATGTTGATCTTCAAACTCAGCCGGGGTTGGTCTTGTCCATTCCAATTCCTTATATTCACTAAGCGATTCTTTGCGTTCCATGACTAGTTCTCACTCCCGCAAATGCATGTCCTCTTCTTTAAAAGTTCTCCCTATCCATGCAGTGTGCTTTATATTTCAAAGAATCCACTGGCGTTATTAGGGTTATTGACGTGTCTCCTGACCTATGTTTCCAGCCATACATCGTTACGTTATTGCATTTGTTAGAACTACGTCGCACGTTGTCGTCTCATCTGATTATATCGTTTTTTCTTCGAGGATTCGCACACAAAACTGACTGACAGCATTTATGGATCTGACAACGATGAGAACAGTAACCCGAGGCTGTAAAACGACCCTTCACAATATTAAGGACAAGCAAGATCGAAAGAAGTATTGCGATTGAAAATCCATAGAACGTGGTATCTAAACGGTTAGTCAGGTTGCTTCAATTCCTTGCTAATGGAAGTCCATTGATATTTATATCCCGGGAAAGAGCACCGACAGTTCAGCCTCTTACAATATTGACTATCCTGCTATGATATCCCGAACTTCAAAATATGAAGTGAATTCTTGTACTCGCTTTACCTCGCTTGAGACTATATTTCCACCGAATGACACGGCACGAAGGAACGAAGGAATAATTAAGATTAAGTACCTTCATGTCTAAGCACAAGCGAGGGAGCTCCACTAGCAACAACAAATACAGGTGTTCGCAATCTTTTTCAGGGAGCAAGACCTAGGAGATCACATTAACTGAGAGGATTCTATTAGATCTCCGCAGACAATCGACGTATTAACTATAAATGACAAGAAAGAATGCGATACTAAATATCGAATACTAATTTCGACAACAATGCACACCTCACATACAACATTTATTCTGGAGAATTGAAACTTCATTCCAAAGACAATAATTAGGATTTGTTTCCAACGCCTAAGCTCTTCACAACATAAAATCACATTAATACCATATCTTTCTATGAGAATTTCGATATAGTAGTCTGCATTCTGCATCTCAAGTTCGCACAAGAATCAATGAGAGAAACTATCTCCGGACTCAAATTCCTTTAAATAATTGCGAAAGGTACCTATAGGTAGGAAATTTGCAAAATCCAAGATTCACTACATATCAGAAAGAACTGCTGCACGATCCCTAGAAATCTTTACCCTTACCCCTCAAATAACCGAGGGACCCCACAGACAATCAAATAAGTGCATCCGCTCCTCGATCTACTTTCTACCCCTGCCTCAACAATATCCTCTCGCTCAGAACACTAGAACGAGTCACCGGAAGTCCTTCAAGAATTCATGCAAATGGACTATCACACGTGCGACTGAAAATAAAGACCAAATCGCACGTAAATACAAGCTCAGACCCACATTGAAAAAGCAAAATCCGCAACGTTAAAAGAAGGTCTCATGTCCAAGGGAAGCGTGCAAATAGCATTAAAATCCCAGACTCAAAACCTAAAGGCGGTATCATTGATACGTTTTGGAAAGTAGCTGGCAGATAAGAAAACGTTAGCATCAGACGATAACACGCAATCTAACCCTGTTGACATTCCAGAGAAAAATCCGTCGTCCATTGCGTTGTTCAAGTCCTATGATAAACGTATCTTATCGAGGTATATCTTAGCACCGACATACGAATCAGGTATCTGAGTAAACACGATCACGGAGACGGCAAAGAAGACAAATCGTGTGCGATTAGACTCGTTGCTAAAGCGAGTCGCTGTATTCTCAACTCCAGATCTATGTTACTTGACACGGCGAATAGAGGTATAGAGAATGACAATAAATGTGACCCATCTAACAACAAGAAAAGGGACTAAATTATAGAATCGAAAAATATTGACAGACAGTGATAGAAACGAATAGTAAAAGAAGAGCGATCTACTCCAGTCCAAAACTACTTTACTTGACAACAACAATACCTGAATATCAGAAATTAGAAGAGGAAAAAAGTACACACGTCAAACAACCACCCATCACATCATCCGCAAGACCTAAGGATATCTGTGAAGTACATTATCGAGTTGCTGATCTAGAGTATGGAGAAACAGGGGTTAAATACCCTGAAGGGTCTTTCATCGTAGATCTTATCAGATTATGGATTCTACGTCTAGTGAATAACCACTCAATACATTCAAGTCCGTAACGAGCATAACCTTGAGACTATTAGTCTCGTACATCACCTTTTCTCCCTTCCAAGTGAATATCCACAACATTCCGATCTGATCTCAATTCTCCAACGCGCTATAAAAGCCGCGTGATACTCATAAACTATTCCATAACCTATTATTCCTAAGCTGGATCTGTCAATTGGTCCCTGTGTGAGTATTTCTTTCTTCTGATTCATCAACATACAGATATACATACCTTTTCAATCACCTCGAAAATATCAATTACTAACCCCTCCCCATCCTCTCGCCATCCTCTTTCACCATCCTCTCCAATATACCAAAAAACCCCCCACCAACGAAAAAAAGTATATCATTCCAACAACAGCCCAAATCCCACTACCAAGATATTTCACAACAAAAACCCAAAACAACAACAACAACAACAACAACAAAATATACACATCAATCCGTCAATTCACCTCTCGCGATCCAAACTCATAAATTTAGATGCAGCAGAAAAACATCGTACCGAGCAAAAGCGAAACGCAACATCCCACTAGTCGACATAGTCAAACAAAACATCATGCCAGTTTTACCTTCATCTTCATTTTTACAGATGTTATTGCTGCGATACACGATTTGGATTACTTAGATACTACTGTAGTACGTGCGTGAAATAATAAGTACTTATTACTCCTTGACCTTAACCTTGAATTCTCGCTAACCTAGCCTTTCTTTACCCCTCCTCCCTCTTACCGCACTGTCTCCCATCTACCATCTACCAAAATCCTTAAACCCAAACCCCAAAAACAAACAGGTGAATAAACCCCCTCTCACCAATCCACCACCCCATCCTTCCCTACAATCCTCCCCACATCCTCATCTCTCTCCCCCTCTACCACACTCCTGATAATCAATCCCCCCCTCCTCGGATGTTCACAACCCATCTCATACGCAAGCCGCAGACCCAAGCCCCCCAAATTCGTCGCGCACATCCCCGGAGCCACCGCCCAAACCTTAACTCCATCTTCCTTCAACTTATGATTCCAATCCAACATCAGCATATTCAGCGCCACTTTCGAACACCTGTAACCGATCGTTTCGAAGCGGATTTTCTTCGGCCATCCAGCTGGCTGTGGCGGCGTGGGGAAATATTTCTGCGCAGCTTGGTTGATGGCTGATAAGCCCGTGATGAATAGTAAACGCGGATCGGAGGATTGGAGGAGGAGGGGGATGAATGTGGAGGTTAGGACGTGAGTACCGGCTACATTGACGTCGTAAGCTTTGTTGAAACATTCACGGAGTGTTCCTTTGCCATTGGTGTATGCGATATCGAAGGTTGCGCCTTGGAGAAGAATATTAGTTTCGTTTTTACGTTTTCGCAACATATAAAGAAAGAGTCACATACCCGCATTATTAACCAACGAATCAACTCTCCCGTGCTTTTGCTTGACCGTCTCAAAAGCCTTCTCAATACTCTCATCACTCACAAGATCCACCTCGAGCGTTTCAATAGTATTCTTCGAATCTGGAACTTCCTTCTTCAAATCATCAATTGCAATCTGAGCCTTTTCCAAAGAACGAGCGCCGAAAAGTATATGGTATGGTTTGGTAGATTGAAGAAAGGCTTTCACGGCTTCATAACCAATGCCACTGTTTGCGCCGGTAACGAGAATAATTGTACGAGATGACATTTTCGATCTTGATCAATGATGAGAACCTGAGGGATAATCGTCTTATATGTATGATTCTGAAAGTATTTGATCAGTTTTATCTGCAGTTTAGTTCCCTATCTATCAGTGGGATATACAGCATCTTTATAGCAATTTCCACTCCAAAACACGACAGGACGGAAACCGGATCTAGCATAAACTCCTTGCGAAACCATTGAGTTTCTTGATAATCATCATCATCGTTGACACAGTACAGTGGATGAAGTTTGAGATCTCATTTCGTCCATTATCAGAGATATCCAAGCAGAGAGTATTTTCCTATTCCGGAAACACGACCGAAGAAACAGATCCCGGTATTCCAGCCCATCAAAGAGTATTTCCCTTTTCGGTAATATCCCGAAGGACCAAAAGGAATGGGCTAGAGTATCTACTCTGAACCATACTATATCGGGAGATACTCTCGAGGTGATTTTGTTTCTCGACATCCCGTCGCGTGTGGTCTAGATATCCATCTACCTATCTAAGCTTCACACTAGCGCACCCCGCACGGATTTAAGAACTTCACGTGCTTTACCTCCTTTATCGCATTCCTTACTTCCGTCTAACACCACATTTTTATTATTGTAAGATCTTACAACCATACCCATACCTAACTAGTAAGCATAGAAGGTTCTACAGAACCAACTATCCAGCAAGATCAATCAAATCATAAAGTCTTCCGACCTCTCCCCAAGATCCTCAAACCCAAACTCCGTTCTAAAGCAAAAGACGCATCAATATCATAAATTGCTTGCTACTCTTATCCCACCTCATCTGTGCTAAGTGACCGGTACTCCTATTCCCTTCACCTAAACCAATCTCCAGCTTCGACTTACCACCACAAGACCCCTCAAACACAATCTCCAATCCAACCTAAGCAGCAATCTATCCACATACTCCTGAAGCGACCCAATCAAGGATCGAGCAAGTTCTTATTTTCAATCTCAATCTCAATCTCAATCTATGATATGGATATTCCCTTTCTATATTTATATCTATTTATCATCTAATCTTTATAATTCAATATATTCTATTCTATTCTATTTCATCCCATCCCATTCCGTCCCATCCAACCTCATTATATCTCATCCTATCCATCCAATCTCATTACATCCCGTCCCGTTCTATCCCATCCTATCCATTACAGAATTTTAAACCAGCTCATAACGTCTAATCACGACTCTGGTCGATACCTCATAAATCTATCCATCCATAAATTTAAACTTCCTCATTCCCCACCACCCCTCTACTAAATCTTCTCTTTCTCAATCCCCTCCCCTCCTCAGATCTCTCCCTCCCCTTCCCCTTCCCCCCATCATCTCTTTCCTTCCCCCCCTCCCCAAACTCCCCCATCCCCAGCCCCTCCTCCCTCTCTCCACCCCCCTCACCACCCAACCCCTCCCCTTCCCAGCCCGGCAACCTAACCGCCCTATCCAACGCCCTCGGCAACCCCCTATGTCTTCCCCTCACCATAACCGCCACCAAAACAACCTTACTCGCCTTCTTCATACCCCCTGAAAAACTATAATCCTGATCCGGCAAACCCGTCGAGATTCCCACACAACCATACGCGCTCACCACCTCAAAAATCACATTAAACACCGAGTACGTAATGGGATCTCTCTCAAACGACGACCCTTCAATACAAACGATAAGGAAAGTCGCGAGTGTTAACCACCACAAATCGTGGGAGAGTTGGGAGCGCAATTGGTGACGGACGAATTGAGTACCTGTAGTTTCTTCCTTCGGGGACGAGGCCGAATTTAAGTTTGAATTTGATGATGCGGTACGAGGTATGCCAATATCCCTTCCACTGATTGATTTTCTAATTCTCTTCATACCTCTCCCCCATCTCGTAGTATTGGAATCCGTCTCCACATCTCCCCTGTAAATTCCCAAACTCCGCTCTTCATAAACATTACTATGTCTCATTGTGATGACCACCGGATATACACTGATATACATCATAACCACGTACAAGAACTGCAGTCCAATACGTAAACTTGGAATACTTATGATATAAAATCCTCCACTTCTGACTGCAATTGCTTGGAATAGTCCATCGAGAACGCGGTAGCGTGGCTCAATTACTTGAGTTGCGGAATTACCAATGTTGAGAAGTTCAAAGGCAACCCAATCGATACTATTGAGAGTTATGACCATGAAGAGGAGCCACCATGTGGGACGAGAGGGAAATAGATTAGTATAGACGCGACGAGGGTAGCGAAGGATGAAGAGGAGTGTTGGTTTATGGTGTTGGAAGGGGGAAAGTAAGTTGGGGAATGTATCGAGAAGCTTGAGAAGGGTGTAGAGAATCAGACGGAGGAAGAGAGGATATGCTGTGTTGCCGGCGAGAATTAGAAGACCCATCGTTAGGAGGGTATAGACTGAGGTTTGGAAAGGTATCTATTCTCGTTAGTTTTTGCTTCCCATATTTTAAACCCTCAAAGGATCGCAAAATAAAAAGGTGAAAGGAAAAAACCAACCATATTCAAATCCAATAAACTCATTCCTGAATTATTAAATGCACTAATCGCATTGAAAACTCCCAACCACCATGGATTGATTCCATTTTCAAGCGCAACATTACTTTTATTATAAGCCATATAAGCACCCAATCCAATTCCTCCTAACACTTGCCAGAGAATGAAATATAGTGGAACTAACCAAGCTAGAAAAGATATAGCTCGGTATTCGACGCCCCCCAAGTGTTCTCTTTCGGCTCGTGATAGACCATGAAATTGTGCATTGCGGCCTGTGGTGTTGGAATTTAGGTATGAAGGATATTGAAGTGGAGCAAGATCTTGCTGGCCTGTCTGGGTGTGTTGGAGTGTACTGGTTTCTTGAACGCGATGCTTGATTGTGTTTTCTGAGGTAGATGTAGGAAACTGGAAATTTGTTGATCGAGCTGGTGTTGCAGTTTCGTTATTTGAACTCCCGCCTGTAACATCCTTTGCTTTCCCTTTTCCATTTACTGGATATGCATCAGGCGCAAACGTAATATGATCTCCCGTATCTTTTGGTACACCACCATGAGGAGAAATTTCCGAAATGGCAGTCATACAATTGTCATCACTTCTACCTCCAACTGGTTGAACTTTCAATCCTTCATCCATTTCTAAAGCATCATCGCCTCGATTACCACCGCTGGTCGATGGAAACTTCCAATTAGCCCCCATCAGATCATTCCCATCTCCCCTCCTACTTCCCATAGCGTCTCGACTTCCACTCCTTATTCTTTCTCTCCTCCTCTCTTCCTTATGTCTCCCAACCACCTCGCCAAACCTAACTTCAAAAGCTCTTTTCCTTGTCCTCACAGTCGCCACACTGACAAAAATCGCACTCCCAACTACAATCAACAGCCAAAGAATAACCTGCTGGAACGTCGTCATCGTACTCAAATTCACCGTATTAAGACCCGCTTCCGTCATGGCCGATGTGACCAAAAATAACGAATCAACATATGATATTGATTTGGAAGGATTCGACGAACCCCAGAATATTAGAGAAGTGATGAGGAGGGTTATGATGAAATAGGTATAATGAATGGTGATGAAATTGAGTGGTGGCAAGAGGGCGAGAATTGGTGATAAGCATCGCATCACTCGATCATACCATTCATCGCCCATGAAACTCTTGAGAGATCGAGGCTTCTTACCCATCTCTTCTCGCGAAGGATGCGAATTGAAAAAACTTCCTCTCATACTTCTTGGAAGAGTCTTCTCTCTGTGTCCACGTGATGGAAGAAGTGATTTGAGAGGTCTAGTAGCAATTGGAGAATGAATAGCGAAGAAAGATCCAAATGTTCTTGGTGCTGTTTGTGAGTTGTGATTTTGAGGTACGGTTTGAAGTTTTGGAACTTCCAACCTTCCAGTCTCCGATTGAATATTTCTCGATTCAAAATTTCTTGATTCCTTCACTTCCGTATCAACCTTTCCCTCTCCCATCCGAACTTTACTCGCATCCAATTTCCTCTGTTCCGATTTCGTATCCAACGTGTAAATTCCCGTTTCGTTCTCGTGCGGAATCACAATTTTTGGAATTCCTCTTTTAACGTTTCTCTCCTCGTGACGGTCGTATGCCCCGTGATGTCCAATCTCCAATTCCCGCGAATTCCTCGCTGTAGTTTCGCCAGATGTGAGTTGCCAAGTATGATGTTCACCTGTCATGTTCTTTCTTTCCCTTCCTGCCTGTGCTGTATCACTTTGCCACAACTCAATTCCCGCGAAGAGATTGGGAAAGTCGAATATTCGTATTGACCTTACTAGCTACACTATAGGGTATGCAACAATTGAGAACTTCAATTTGTTACCATCCAATAGAGTATAGTGGTATCGTCAATTCTTCATGTATCGATATCATCCACCACCAAGAAGAAGTAACAGGCAGTACCGATCGATAACAGGGAATTGATGCCGAAGCAAAGACAAAGCGTTCCTTCCCAAGCAAATCTAGATCTCTAATCAAACAAACAAACAATCACAATCAATCAAATGTATGTAAATAAATAAATAAATCAAACTCCTCAAAAAAAATACCCCCAGAAACAGAAAACTCCTTCTTCCTCGTACAGGAAAATCTACCTTATGAATGAAAAGCCAACAGTGATATTGTTGGTCGTCTCGATTATGTACAAGTAGGGCATGGCATGGTATGGAGGTCAATTTTTCTGCAATTTTTTTTTCCTTTACCTTTTCTTCAACCATGAGCCACCGAGCCGACCTCTCATCTCATACCCCACATCTAATTAATGCAACCAACTGTCTGTCTCAATTCCTTCCTTTGCTTCACCGACAGTCTTTGGTTGCAGGTGTTGTTGTTGATAAGATGAATCAATCTCGATATCGATATTGAATTTCAAGACATTGACTTGAGTGATAAATGAGATATAAGAATACCCAGGTATTTAGTACTCAATAATACAAGTAATAGGAAAAGTCGCTCGATCTTGGGTTAAAATTACATATAACATGGTTTATCAGTGAGCAGGTTATATTAATGAATAAGTCACTTATTTTACATACAAAATTCATTTATATATAATTATGCACTTTCTTTATTTATTAATATAATTTTCTAAAAATTTAATATAAAATATTTAGATATAAAAGAATTTTAAAAATCTAATTAATTTTAAGAAATTAGAATTTATAAAAAATTTATTATAAAAATAGTTTTTTTATAACGAAAATTATAACAATTTCCTTTTTTTTGAAAAAAAATAATGAAATTATTTTATAAAAATTAAATTAATAGAAAATCTATATTTTGATTATTTTTTAAAATCTTTTATTCAAGAAAATAATAATTAATTATTAAAATATCAATATTTTAAAAAGCTTGATTTAAATGATTTTCGAAATAATCCGTTTATTGATATAACCTGTTCACTAATAAACCACGTTATATATATATGCTCAATCCCTCCAGCTATCACCAATACAACATCACCACCACACCACCGTATCGCATAAACAATCTAAATTACCTATATAACATCCAAATCTAACACCAGGATCCGATCCAGAATCCAATCCAGAATCCAATCCAGAATCCAATTCCCCATACAATCCAACCATCCAACCATCGCGATCTAAACCGAAAGAATCCTTCAAATCTTGGTAGCCCTTGGAGACCCTTCTCCTCTTTCTCTCTCTCTCTCAATCTAAAAACATACACTCCAGTCTGAATCAACTACCACGACCATAGACCCTTCCTTCCAGCCAGCTAGCTCTACGTGCATAGCCCATCGCTTCCAGCAAGCAAGCAAGCAAGCCAACCAAGAAGCCAACAGACCGACCGTTCACAGGTAACCTCAAATCAGGCCAACCTCAGATCAGACTAACTAGTTGTCTACCTATGCCTACCAGGTAACTAAATCACTCATCAAATTCATTCGTTCATTCATTTGTGAACTTCACCAAGACACAAGAAGAGTAACCAAAGTTTATACATTTCATAAAGCCAACATGCTTTTATTCATTCATTCATTCACTCATCCTATCTCATGCTATGTTATCCTATCTCCTTCCATACATCTCATCTGATATATAGATAAATACCCAGACAAATTTCTAGCAATATACCTCATCTCTCCTCCGCCTCCTCTTCTCTTCCCTACCCCATTCCTATATCCAATCCCCATCCAGGGTATCTACCATTCCATATCCCAATCCAATCCAGTCTAGGCCTTTCACCCAATCCATCCAATTCAATCTTCCTTATCCTTCCCTAAAATTCGTCCCACGATGATGACTGTAAACAACATAGGAAATTGGTGATGTGCACAATGCTACTTCCTTCCTTCACTCCCTCAATTCAAAGAAACAAAAAAACGCCAGCTGAATCACGGGTGCATCCGAATTTGGTTTCTCGCCCAAGAGTATCCAAACCACCCACAGCTTATCCTTCATCCCACCCCCCTTCCCTTCCCCATAAACAAATAAAATTATGTATGTATGTATATTGCATCATATTTAAGATTCCAAAACTCCTCGCAAAATGATAGAATATCAGATAAATAGCGTACAAGCCGATAATATAAATGGCTTCCAAATCACCACGAAGGATGGGTGGATGGGTGAATTGTTAATTCTGAGTGTATATTAGAACTGAACAATGTTGTATGACAAGATTTGAGTATCAGTTCGTGTTTGTTGGTGTGTCTTGCCTCAAGAGCGACGATTGATTGGCGTCAATGCGATAAATTCGCGGCTCGATTATTCTCGTTGGTGCTATGGTACCTGCGCCATGACCTTCATAAAAGAAGGATACCAGTGGTCCAGTCCTTGAATGATGGGCCGAATATGCTGTTGTATATAAAGAATCAATTCCAGTTTGTCGAAAGAAGTTCAAGGTCCATGCTGTGAAGGATCTCTTGGATGTTGACTTCTTCTTCCAGCTTCACCTCTAGCATTAGCCCATTCTTGAGCACCACTTTGTCTACCAGGTTGTTCAGCCGGTAATTTCTGATCTTCTTGTCTCTGAGGTGGAGGTGGAGTTGCCATGTGTTGATTTGAAGATCCATCTGGTCTCAATCCCGATACAACAGATTGTGCAATGGATGCCACAACATAACCTCTCAATTCCTTGTCTTCCCTCGCATCTTCCTTTTCCAAACGAAACCTCTCATCCTTGTTCATATTTGATCTTCGAAGACCTCGAATTTCGTTTTGGATGTACAGCATAACTTCCTCTGGACATTTGTTTCTTGGAAGAGCATGATCCGCTTTGCGAACATATCTTCTGGTAACATCTGTCGCACCATCCGTTGAAAAGGCAATACAGTAAGACATTTTCTTACCCCAACCCTCAGCATATAATCGCGGATTATCCCACGCTTCTTCACAAGCATCAACATGAATCCATCTCTTTTTCGTATCCGAATAAACTTCCGTCCAGACATGATCTTCGACATTCCAGACCCACCTTACACGACCTCCTACTGCGCGACACAGCATGCTGAAACAATTGGCCCATTCTCCAACTCTTCCTTTGCGCGTTTGTAATAATTGCCAGACGTCACTATATCGAGGGAATCTTTCATATGCTCTACAATCCCCAGCTGAACAACGATATAATTCGACTTTTGTTGCTCCGCATGCTGATTCGTCGGGTGTAGGTGGTGTCATGCCTTGGGCTACTGTAGGTGACATGCATACTTGACATGGTGGATTGTTGACCCATGAAAAGAATGAACGTTTAAACCATCTGATAAGATGTTAGGGCCAGTTATATCGGGAACGTCGAGCAAAGCGGCAGAGCCATGACGGGAAGCCAAAGCGCAAATCAAAGACAGCATAACAAACATACCTCAACAGCGCTCTAATCACACAATCTTGATAGCCCCATTCTGGTTTCCTTCCATCTCCCATACTTTCAGCTTCGGCTTGTAATATTTGACTTTCCTCTTCTGCCTCGCCATATATTCTATCTAATGGTAAATGTTGTAGAGCTTCATCCAATAAACCTGGGTTTTCATATTTCGTAGGAGTTTGCGAGATGGAAATTAATAGATTTCGAAACTTTTGTGATTGTACATCTGCAGGTGGTGATGGAATCTTTGGTAAATTTCTTACGGACGAATACGAAGGAGGTGTTGAGGGTTTTGAATTATTTGATGAAGAAGTTGGACGAAAGTTTGAAGATTGTTGTTGTTGTTGTTGTTGTTGTTGTTGTTGTGAAGAAGTTGCTTGTAAATTGGATGAAGATGATCTTTCTCTTGGTGATGGTGATGCATTTCTTGACCTCGATTTATCCAATTCATTTAATCGTTTCGTCCTTAATAAACCTTCGAATTGTTGTCTTAAATCTTTTGCCCATGCTTCATCATATTCCCTATTTGGTGCATTACGATCAGCCATTTTGATATATTGTTGGTGGTGATGGTGATGTTGTCGAAAGAGAGAAATAATAATTGAACGTCGAATGTCGAATGTCGTATGTCGGATGTCCAAGGTCGAGGGTCGTATCGTATTGTATTGTATGGTACGAATTGAAAGGGAAAAAGATGATTCGACACTCCTTCTTCAAATCTTCAACCTTCACAACCAATCTTCACTTCGCTCTCCCTCTCTCTCTCTCTCTCTCTACCGTATGTATCTCTTTGTGTAAGTTGTGGCTGATTCTATAATCGAAAGAGGAATTTTGGGTATGATATCGTCCGAGGAATGGTCGTGATAACAATGCGTAGGTAGGTAGGTAGTCGAATATACCCTCCAAGGATAAAAAGGAAGGATGTTAATGAAGAAAAAATGAATTGAAAAATGTGAATGAAGTAAAGTAAGTATGAAAGTAGTGGTAGAAAATAAAGTTGTATCTTCAATCAATCAATAAATCAACATTTCTTTACTTTTCTTTACTCTCTGTCTCTCTCTCTTTCTCTCTCACTCGCTCACGCACGCAAACTCTCTGTCTCTCGCTCGCTCTAGTTTGTCCCTCGAGCACAGCCCTCCAAATCGAACTTAGGCACTTTTTTTGGTCGCAATCGCCACTTTTCGCTTATGGAGTTTAGGCTAGGGATTATTCGTAATTTATAGATCCTCGTCAGGTTGGTGTTTTAAAGTATCTAGCTAGGTGGGTAGGCAGAGAAGGGAAGGAAGGAAGGAAGGAAGGGGGGAAGGGTGGAAAGAGGAAGAAGTTGTATCTTTATGACTTTATCAATAACTTCAACCAATTTCGGAGGGAAAGCGAGAGCGAAAGTGACAATACTGAGTAAAGAATCGAGGTTGGACGTCGTAGTTGTCCTAGTCGTCTTAGTCGTCTTAGTTTTCTTAATAGTCGTTCTAGTTCTAGTTCTTGGTAACTATATAGGTATGTGGTTGAAAGAAGGATAAAGTAAAGAATAGATCCTATCCTCTTACAATTAACAGAATCAAAAGACTCGTATAATAGAATAATGAATTGTTATGGGTTGAGAATTGGGTACATTCAGAAAGGTTAGAGGTGTACGAAGATAGTGTACGACTAGACTAAGAGTTTATCGGCACTGCGTAAGTTCCCTCGAGGTTCCCTCCCTTGGACTCAGATTTAGAGTCTAATAACTTAATTAGACTGATCAAAAAAGTAGATCCCAAGATTTTTCCGGGGACCCAGAAAAGTTAAAAAGTTGTTTAGGAAACTAAGAATACGGTGGTAGGTAGTATCAACTTGAACAATTCATACATCCTCGTGGCATGCGTCGTAAGTTGTGACATCTTCCCCAATTGATAGAATCATACAATCCATACCGGATCTATCCATTTCCCCCTCAAATGGGAATGATAGATGATTATCAATCTGTTGTAAATTTGCTCTTTAACTCTACTCTTCTCTGCTCTGCTCTACTCTACTCTACTCTACTCTGTACATAGTAACTTATTTGGCTTAATCATTGCAAAATGTTAGATTCGTCTTGGCAATAAATTCGTACGCGCGGTTCAGTATCTAGGTGTCTACTACCAACCGCTCTTTGGGACTCAGGACTCAGAATCCACGGTAATGGAGAGTCAAAAATGGTTTGGATAATCTGGATTTCTATCATACTAGTATTCGGAACTTTTGTATCGCCAAGATTATGCCAAGTACGTGAAGAAAATGGATACTCAAATTAAGAGGGGTTTCATTTACTCGACGGTTTTAGGATATATATGTTTTGTATGATCTTACAAATCAATAGATTCATCTGAATACCCAGATCTAAGGAAAGCCTCTGTTATTACAATTTCCTACATACATGCTACCTTTTTGGTACCTGAAAAGCGACTAATTGTAACTAGATACTGATAGATAGTCGGAAGCTTAAAAGAAGGTTGACGTGGGCTACCTAGGAATGGTTTGACCGTTTTGGCGGACTATTAGATGAAAAGAAGGAAAAAAGTCAGGAGCTGACGACGACTTCTGTTTAAGCGATCAACTCATTTCCATACTGAAATCATCTTTCGATCTGATATGATTGGTTGGGTATGTAGATTCGAGATCTCTTTCCTCTACACCGAATTGTAGAGCTTTTCCATATCAATCTTCTATAACTTCTCAGCTATCTTTCCAGGTATGTATGAAGATCTCTCTAGATCTAGAAAAGATGATTCAAAACTTCACGAAGGATTCCTATATCTCTTGGCTAACGTGTATCATATGAACCATATTGCGACGACAATAGTAGATCTTTTTTGCCAACGTTACGATGACCATGGATCAATCTCACCCGATGATTCTTGGCATACTTCTTAGAGTGCTGTAATAATATATTGCTACTTTATTAACACAGGTGGTCATGTAAACATCAGACGAATTATATTAACAGGATGTCATAAAGATATAGACATAATGCTATATCACAACTCTAGATCTCCCTTTCACTATGCACTCTAAATAATTCCATTTCTTAATCATGGAATCTCTAAATTTCAAGCACAACCTCACCCAAAACTGTTCACAAGGTATGAAATTCAAAATTCAAAATCCACATACAAACAGAAGAGTTCGTCACCAAGTACATACGAAACGAAATCATAACCCCTCAGTTTGAGCCTTACAAATATGCTTTGTACACTAGGTCTTTCGTTTCCCTCAAAGATTCGTACGCATACCATCGGAAACTGGAGAGTCCGTCATCAACTTAGGAACAATAGGTGCTTCATCATCAGTTATCTACAAATGCCTCATACTCAGTGCCTATGGCATCCGGTTCTCAACATAAAAATGCCATGTCGGAACAAATAAACCCGTCGATTATACTTCACACAAGCTCCTCGTTCGTCTCGGTATCAAAGATTTTGATATACATACACGCAATCCATCTTGGCAGAGATAAGTTATTTAGAGATCCACGGGTGTATTCGTATACCACAACACGTGGATATATACTTACACGATAAATATTTCAGTCAACGACAGCAATAACGACGACCTCGTCATCTTCGTCTCCCTCATTTCTCCTCTCCCTTTCCTCGTACTGATATCAATTCCAACATTTCTTGAATCCTGGCACCTACAAATTATCAAAATCCAGGCCTCACCGAAAAACTCAATCTCATCCCCATATTTCTGATTCGTAAAAATAATATCCCCCATAATCTTTTAAAACCACAAGGCATACGCGTTTTTTCTTGGCATCGGCGCTCTGATTCTCCAAAAAGGTCTAGTCTGATTAAAAGATTGCGCGGCTGGCTACCCCCTTGTGGCGTGGTGTGTTTGGCTGGTTAAGTATACACCGGTTTAGCGAGAATGAAGGGTGACTGCACGTGGAAAAAGGGTTCATGGTTTATCATTGATGAATGGAATGGATAGAGTTTGAGTTAAGCTTTGTTATATCTTTGTATCTGGGTTTGAATACAAAAGGTCAAGAAGGGGAGGTATGGATATGTTAGTCGGTCAATATGTAAAAAACACCTACCGGTAGCTGGAGAGAGACGTCAACACAAGAGATCAGGAACAATACTTCCCTCCCCACGCCAAGCTAAGATTTATCAGCGCAGCGTCTATTTTTGTTATTTACCCATTGGATTTACCCATTTAGAACATTCCCATATATGTGTATCAGATCAAACAAGCGCCCCTTCTCCTTACCCAACCAGCAGCTCTTCCAAAAGCAGACATTAGAATCGAGAAAATATTCCTTCAAATTACCGAACGGAGAATACAGTCGTCTCATATAAAATTTTATAGTTGGCCGAGCCGCAGGAAGTGGACGATATCTTCAGCTGAAATATATGCAATGAGGGATGTTTGTAAGCAAGCTCAAAGCTTCAAAATATCAGGTAAATTAAGTACTATATGTATATCAAATGTCTTTCTAAAGCTTTCAAGCGCTCCAATCGTAACCTCCACCAAGTCTGATCTTCACACGCGGGTGTTCTACATATCTCGGTGTTATAAGGTTTTGATATATACCGAACGACCCTTTAAACCCTACACAGCCTTCCTCTTATCAGGCACCCTTCAAGTATACTTGATACTTGATACTTGAAACTTCAAACTTCAAACTTCAAACTTCAAACTCCAAACTTGAAAGCCGCGCGATATGCCATTTAATGGTCATAGCTTCCTCCATACTTATTGCTTCGTACACCTACCTACCCAGTCTCCAGTCTAGGTCTAGTATAGATAGATAGCTATGAGATGAGGCTCTTCCCAGCTCTAGGAGCCACCACCCGAAAGCGAGCTAACAGGAAAAGTTCATCCCTTCATGTGTACCACGTACGCGTAATATCTTTTAATTTACATTGATTTTTCTTTCCAAGTTATTGAACTTAGTACGTGGTATGATAGCCTTGAATCTTGATAGGGAGGGATCACGCAAGATGGAGATCATGATGCGTTATTAAACTTCTATTTTACTTCTATTTTGTGTGCACTCCGGTGCTTTCTTTCGTGGTGCTTTCATTCCTGGTGCACACGTGGTGGTCAAGGGACTGCCTGCGTCGTCACCGGTGGATAGTATTCATGTGTTAATATATCAAACCTGGTTGTTCGTCATGATTTTCCGGATAGAATGGATGAGAGGCAGCGCGTTTGGGTTTGGTGCGAGCGTCTTGCATGGACACTTTGACTTGTGTATCGATTTTCTCTTGACCAATCATTCAAAATTCATCTCCTGTCAAACCCGAAGTTTTCAAAGTCAAGATGCCAAAGAGACCAACAGAAAATGTACCGCTACTTGAACTGTCCTTCCACCTCTAGTAATGTGGACGGACGCGTATGTACCATCTCAATCTATCATTCCCTGCCACTTTATATTGACTCCAACGTCTTGGTAGCGAAGATATTATCAATTTCTTGTCTATCTTGTGAAGACGGCTTACGAACTTGACCAATTAGACTTTGGGAATTTCGTATCAAAGCTTTTCTGTTGTTGATGTTGATAGATTGGGTCAAGTATGACTTATTTATTAGTCTGTCAATTCTCAATAGTGCCTGCCCGTATACTAAGTATTCTCCACGAATTCATGCATCTTAGACTTTCGAGCCGTATCCCAAGTTCTCTACTCTTCCCACTCAATTATTGAGTCATATAAAGTGGAAACCTATGAATTTGTGAATCTAATGTCTCCATATTTTCAGGATCACCTGTACATCGTCTCACATAACACATAACATAGCCTTATTCATATTTTCCACACCCTAGAGATTGGCATGATGCATTCTTGCTGCCTGCTCTCCCCCCCTCCCCATCCCACAATTTTTAACACAGATCTTCATTACTGATGGAGTATTGAAGCAGATATATACATCCATTCGGATTCGGAACAAAAGAAAGCGCCGTTCATCCTTCGTACTCTTTCTAGTTTCATTCACGCGGCATCACTTCTTACTTCATCTCTTCCCTGTCAATCTGATACTTCTCTCTTCGTCAACGTGACGAAGCATCCGAAAATTATTTCGTTCACGTGTGTATCTAAATCATTAAGCTTAAATTCTTGCTCGGCAAACGTTATATCACAAGGGAAGTACACGCAAACTTTGTTCTGTTTCCACTTATTCACTTACTTCCTCCTCACACTGGCTGGCGCAAGCTCTGAAACGAAAAGGGAAAAGAATGGAAATCGAACTGCAATGTAATACATTTGTGTGTGGGCGAGCCGTTGGATTGGTGTTGACAGGTTGTACTTGAGCGCTATTGCCTTTACTGTTATCCTTACTGGCTCTTTGTTACTATATTCTTTACACCGTATGAATAAGTGGAGTTAGATGACGAGGGAAGTACCTGTGTTTTCTTCCAGGGGATAAGAGAAATCATGAGAAAAAAGCATAGCAAAAACCCACATTCTATCGTCTGTTCTTTCCTTTCATTGCTCGTCGCCACGCACTGCTTGATCCTGGTTGTAACTACGTGGATATATATTATTTTCGCCAGCACTTGATTACCTGGCTCAGAAGTCTGTCAGCTTCTGTTGATTCAAGTAAAATGCAAGTGACGGTAACGCTATAGTGCTGCTAGTCGCATCTCGAACACATTTCAATTACAGGTTGTAGATAAGGCTTTGGATAGCCTGAGTTTAGTAAGATACATACTCGTGATGATAATCTTGTTTTTTGCTATTTTGTCGCATGGACATGTATGTTTGGAGTTAGGTACCCTTGACTGTCCAAGATATAAGGGCTAAAAGAAATATTTTAGGTTGGTAGGCAAGTAGCTGTTTTCTGTTTGTTTGTGTTTATTCCGTGGCTCGCCTCTGGGAAGTGGGGAAAAGGGGGAGTAGCTTCTCTATTGCGTAAGAAGCAAAAAAACAATTGATTAAGATAATCAGGGCTTAGGTAAATCGGTATACCGTCTATCTAGCTACCTCGCATAACGTGTGGAATACATAAGATGATATTGTCACAAGTCACTGGATTACATGAGAAATGAAAGAATAGGATACTCATCTCAAAATGATATGGCAATATATGAGATATTTGCGCACTGCGGAAGCTGTAGAAATGGAGTGGAAGGTTTAGGGTTAAGTAAGGATGGAAATTTGATGTGACGGTCAGTTGAAAAGACCCATATATACAGTCACTTCGATTGGATGATGGTAAGATATAGTTTTGGATGGCACGATAGGCCCATGTTCGGATGATATCGTTAATATCAAGACGGTAATTCTTGGAAAGTCTACCGATATTGAGATTTAATGCTGACTTCATATCAAATAACACTGCAATTTTAACAAGAGGTCTTTTCATAAGCCGGAGTGGGAGATGATTTGAGTAAGATGTATGAAAGGGTACAGAATTTGTATGGGCAGTGAGTATGTGCTTAGAATTATTTCCAGTTGTCAAGTGGCATAGATAGTTGGCGAAGGATATTGTACAACGGCTCAGAACTCAGCATTCCTCTTAAATACTTCTAAGTGGAGGGATTCAAGATTAAAAATGGGAATGGAGTATGAGTAGATTGGGTTGATGTTCCGAAAACAGATCACGGGTTCATCTACACATGGATATTTACAGCAATGAGATCAATTTTATAATTTTCTCATTCTATACATTTAATATTCTTTACGTACGGAATATTAAACATTAGTACTATAAATTGACATTCTCTTTCCTGGACTTGTAATGAATCATTGAATCCACGAACGAATATTACTATCATCCTTAACCGTCAAAATTTTCAACGGATGCGTCTTCTCCCTCTTCCCCCCCTTCCTCAGCACATCCCTCGCTCTCGAAACCGAATGTCCATTTACTGCCTCCCAATCCTGCTCCCTCATGCTCTCATAAAATTTATATTCCTCCCCAGATACCCCTTCAAACGCCTCACAAACAGAACCATGTTCATATGCAAACCGCGAGACCTTATCACTTCCCTGCCTATCCTGACTCGTGACATTCGCAATTGCGTTTTGCCAATTGAAGTCCCGCGCCGACTTGCCGGAGCCAAGATCCTGCCAGCAAGTGAGATAAAGCGCGTCGCCCTCTCCCTGGCGATCCTGCACCGCGACGTGGTAATCCGTCATGCAGTAGTCGCACGATTGGAAACGTGGTGATGTCAAGGATCGATCGGAGACGCTGAGCGTGCGCCAGCGGAAGTCGTAGTATAAGTTCCATTTGAGATGCGGACAGATGGGATGATCCCAGGTCAACCATTCTGGCGCCCAGGCGTCTGGAGCTTGGGAGGTATCTTCAGAGAAATCTTCCGAGGTACAATGGTCATGGTTGGCGGGGAGGAGGAGGATTCTTTGCTTGCAGAAGATTAGTGAATTGGTCGTTTGGGAGATGCGTATAGTCTCGCGAGAATATTCGACTAATCGAGATTTTGGATTCAAGAAAGTAGTGGTAACGTTGTAAAGAGAGATTGAGTGAGGGATGTGGCGTTGATGATAACGTTTCATTGCCGCTTGCAAAACATGGAAGCTCACATGTCCTTCTAAGAGGGGTAGAGCGTTATCAATATGAAAAGCGCACGACTTCTCAAGCAACCTCTCACTGTATGCAAGACCGATCGTGTGGAGTTTGTTGCAGGGATAGCATGTAACATAATTTGGAAGATCCCGTGCGAGGAGTCTCAGGAAGTTGTAGCGATAACTTCGATAGAGTTGGATGTTTAAATTATACTTGTACATGGCTTGAACGGGGAAGGAGGTAGCCCTGTAAGGGTTGTTTAGGGCTTCGACGTATCTTGATCCGAGTCTTTCCCACAAGTTCTTACAGCAAAGACTCAATAAGGCTGCGGAGTCGGGTGGTAGAAAATCGACGAGGTAAAGTATAAGGTCATCGTTTAAATCGCAAATGTTTTCCGCTTTGCGAGTTCGCGGGTCGATCTCGGTTGGGTTTCGAGATGATTCAAGGGTCGTTAGGCGAAAATTCAATTCGAGGGCCGGGTCCCCTATGAATGAAGTTACTGGAGAGAGGGATTGTTTGTTGTCTGTGGAAATCCTTGGATCTCTCTCCGATAATGCTACTGTAGCTCTACTGATATCAGGAGACTTGGTGTTTCCCATGATGAATATCTTTTGGTGATAAATGGAAAATGTAAAGTTATTGATTAAGTGATCGATATGTGAAGAGATTGGAATGTTAAGTGATTGAACTGTAAGTAACGAGCGTAAAATGTTTGACCTGTACTGGTTTTCCTGAATATATGAGGAATCATGAATCTATTTATATAGATTACCTGTCTGCACCAAAAGTGTCTAGTCATGAACTAAGATCTTGTGAAGAGTGTGGGGAGATGCTAGCGGGATACGCAACGAACTAAATATCAAAAAAAAGTTGAGCCATTGATGTGCTAGAGTACACCAGACACACTACAAGGCACTTAACATTATTGAAGACTATATTCACACAATGTTTCCCAAAAGTAGATCAACAATCCTGGCTTGTGAAGTAAAAAAAAAATCATCCATGACTATCGATACATCATACTTCAAATGATAAACGCACTAGACGCACTAGATCAAAGCTGTCGGGATTAGCCTCCAATATGGCCCAGACTCCTACCAGTAAGAAGTCACGAGAACATCGTCACTCGGTGTTCGAATCCTATGGGGAAATCAAACAAGTTTCTGCGTCCAGAATTCTCAAGAAAAGTAGGCTACGAAAAAACCGAGAACGCGGAGTTGCTATTGAGATATTCAATATGTGAACTAGTACTACAGCCACAAGTCGTAGGCATCGTTTAAGTATATTATAGATCTATGTATCCAAACCTTCAGAGGTTCCTGCCTTTCTTGTGCTATCTACCTATTAGGACGCGATGTCGACTCACCATTGTGGGCGCGTGCGCAAAGGTGATAATTAGACGAGAATGAAGGGGGCCATACGTGGGAGAGAAGAGACGTCAAATTTAATCACTCCATTGAATTCTTTGATAAATCAAACACAAATAATGTTATCTGGAGATACCTAAAATAACACGTGTTTACCGTAGAATTATGGAAGTCATTAGTGTTAGGTAAAGCTTAAAAAATGATCAGTCATGATACTATCAAAACTTTAATTCTTTAAACAAAGCTAGAGTATTTGGATCATTGAAAAGCTGCGCTAATGGTCAAGTTCGGGGGGGTTTTTCCTCCTACGGATAGGGGGGACAGCAAGCGTACAATAATTACACTCACGTGAAGAAAGGTATCATCTTAGTGAGGTGCAAATTCAGTATTTGGGCCAAGGTTTTCATTCCAAAAAAATGTGCATACTAGAGTTTGCAACCAACATTCTAAAAGGACAGAGTGTTCAATGTACATAGTAACCCATTAAGAGAGCCAGCTTTTGTGAACAAATGATACATGCATATACATACACGCTCAAAATCTAACACCAAGTTCTCGAATCTTCTCCAGTTCATCTTGAGTATATGGCTTCGTATTAATGATATCGTAATCCAGCATGCGAGAGCGCCAGTATCCGTCGAAAAACTCTAGAATTGGCTGGGCAAGCTCAATGTACTTGCTTTCAAAATCTTGAACTAGTAGTTCTAGTTCCTCAATTTGTGAAGATTCTTCCTCTTGAATATCCTGATGGTCTCCAATATCGAAAGGGGTGAAGTGATGAGGAGGTGAACCCTCGGAATAGGGGTGATAAACACAGCAGGTATGCGTAAGTTCTAATATCGTGAAAATTGCAAAGCGAATTATTTCAGGGGCCAGTATTTTCCAGCTATCGTTATCGGTACCTATGAATTGGAGCAGAAACATAATGGAAGCACGCATTATCCAGTAAGTCGAATCAAGAGAAAATCCTTCTTCGCTCAAATCAGTAAATACACTTACGATTTCCCCTTCATCAAGCTCCAAGATAGTTTGCTTGAGTAATATGGTGAGTGCTGTACATGCCGATTTTGAACATGCGCATATACATAGATCAGCTGTCGAAGTTGTTAGAACTTTAAACATGACGTTTCTGACCTCGGGCTGAGAAGATAAATTTTCAGGGCCACCATTTGGCTGTAGATTTATTTCTTCCATTGTGATAACCCAAAGATCCTTGATAAGAAGACTTGCAACAATGAAGTGGGTGGCTGGACTCCATGGACTCCATCGGTCTCCTTGCAATATTCTGTTTGCGCGATGAAGATCGGCTCCTTTCTGGATCAGCCACCAAAGCAATTTGAACTTGTCCATCATCTCACTTGGAGACGTATCGTGATCAGTCCATCTCAACATCAACAAAGTTCTCTTGGAATCGAAACAATGGTACTCTTCTATCTCACAAAATCCAGCATCGTAAAACATTTCTACTATCTCAGCTCTTGGTATTGCATATTCTCGTAGATATATATCGTACACGAATAGTAAATGATATATCGACTCGTATTCCTTGGGGATCTGTAAAGCTGGAGGTATATCAACTCCAAATACCTTCAGAAGAGCGCAGGTAGAGCTTGCATGAAGATCCAATACTTGATCACCTGAGATTGCAAGTCTATCCGTTTTTGAGGTTGGCAAGCTCTGAAAGGCTAATTGGCCGAGTCGGTTTCTGTGATCAACGAGAGAATTTATCATGCAATTTATAATGTCTTTTGAGCTCGAGCGCGATGCGTCAAGGAAAACGTCCTCGGCACGAAAAAATACAACATCTTTCAATGTATCGCTGATCGTATCTGCGCGGAAAGAATGTAGCGGGCTGTCGGCATTGAGGAGTAACTGGACAGCTGGCAAACACTTCGAGTACAAAGCATAAGCGACAGGAAAATATCCCATGCAGTCTTGCTTGTTGACCAAACTTTGACCGTCTATACGCAAAAGATGAGATATTCCAATTGGCCAATCAGAAGATAGATGTAGTGGAGTCTGACCCATGGTGTTCCGCTCATATGCACTATCCGGGAAGTTGGCTAGAATTTGTAGCATTCTGTCTTCTGATCTCTGCAAAATAGCAGAACTAAGAGCTCCACAGTGAAAACCTAAATTTGTCAGACTTTGTATAGGTAATTTGTGGGTAGGGTTACCGAACCAAGTATTTCGGGAACATCTCGAAAGCTCGAAAGAGACATCGCTAGATGCCTACAATAATTATCCCATCACTGACAACCTGAAACGATTAACTGATTCTCTAACCAAGAATCAGACAGCTCCAATCCCATGCTATCTATCAATTCTAAACATAGACCAGGTACCTCTGGATGATAGTACCCAAGAACCTTGGAGCCAAAAAGAATCTCCAGGGGGCGTCTTTGGAAAACATAGTTAGCATATCCTCCATTCAAGATTTAAGATGCATTGTAACCTACTCTCCGTTGGTATTTGTGTCATTTACCATAGTATATGGGGTATTTGCTGCAAGAAATCTCAGGAAACGTTTGTAAGATTGAAACACTTCAGCATTTGTAAGTTCCAGATCTTTAGCGATTAAACAAGCCATCTTGGTTATTTGTTAGCTATGTTCAATGGTATAATCTGAAGACAAGGAGAGTCGCATACATACATGAAGAATAGATTCACCACGTCTATTGACGTCGTTTAACGAAGCCTGGCCGCTCGCAAGCCTTTTCCCGATTTGAATTGTGATATTATCCATATCCAAAGAAACTCCAATAGAATCTACCTTGTATGCCCTTCCTCGAATGTCGTCCATTAATTTGAAGACTGGTGACTTTGAAGATACTATCCTACGAAAGGTAATATTCGGAGAAATTGAGAGTAGAGACCCTGCTGTGGAGATGATACATAGCCTCGCGCGAAGAATTCCTGAAAACAACTGGCTGCAATGGGAATATGTGAGTTCCCAAGTATTTTTCCTTTGAAAATGGAATCTTGATGGGCAATCAGGCCTGCGACAACCAGAATTTGTTCCTAATCGTAGAATCTGCAAAGATTTCGCCGAAAAAGACCAGTAGCTATGTTTTCCTTCCAAAAGAGCCTGTGATTGACAGGGGCATTTGCTTTTTGCAGCTTTGCGTATCAATGTTTTGGATGCTGGCTCGTCACTCTCAGGAACTAACGCATTCGAAGAATTATCATCCACAGTCGGCGCTAGTTGTTTTTGGTTCGAATCCAATGCTCGCGACGTTGCTTGTTCGAAGATTTTCGGCCCTTCTTGCAGCGACATTCTGACATTTGAAAGTTCTTGAACCATGTAATGATTCAATGTTCTAGATCTAATATCATGTTGAACATGTCTATCCATGAGATTTTTCAATGTTGGGAGAACGGCATCAATATGCGTGAAACTCGCATTCAAATTCTGAAGTTCCTTTGCAATGAAGTCTATGCCAGCCGTCGTAATAGCCGATGTTGTAACAATATTTGATGTCTGCTCCGATATTTTGCAAGAGACCTCACTTGAATGTGGTTAGCAGTATGCTAGGGTTATTCAGGGACGTTTCATAGTCGTTGCGATAGCTAGCACGAATGGTAACACAGAGTAGTGAAACTAAAAGTGATACACCAAGAATGATCACGTGGCAAAATTGTCTACTTACAGTTGCAGAGCCATGATGGCCATGTCTACATTAGCCTGTAGCTTGCCGACGATATTCTCTAGTTTTTGCAGAGTAGCTTGACGGAAAGGAAAGATCGCCTTCTTGCCGAGGAAACAGATCTTTTCTCTCGTACCAATGGGCATACTGAGTTGGCATTTCTGAAGAGTTGTTTGGAGAGTCCTGATATTGTCTGCGCATGAGGCGACAGTAGCGGCAACTAGGGCTACAGCAGATGTGTGATTTGAATGAAGGCCTCTTAGGCTTGCTTGTAAATGTTTGAGCGTGGTGTGAAGTGCTTGAGTTCTTTGCGCAATACCGTCAATTTCTTGAGCTTGATCGCGGTAGGCGGAATAATAAGAGACGATCCCCTATGAGACTTGCAATCCAAGAGAGACTACTCCAACCGCTGTACTCAACACATCTGCCATGATAAATATACTTGAAATCTCTCAGTAAGTAAATAGCTTTGGGATGCATTAGAAATCCCAACTTGTGAGGGTTCATATTTGATATTGAAGTAGGCTTTGCAACTGCCACACTCGAGCCACATAACTGAATCCTGATTTAGTAATTACCCCTACCTAGGTACATGTTGTACAACGTTATCGCACACGCCAGGAGAGTTGCACATTAGCCTACGGTAAGCTTACTAACAACATACATACCTTTCAGACAATCCGAGAAATTCGCATGGACTAGACCTTTGAAAGGCAAGGAAACAAGCGAGGAGATAGATGATTTTTAATATTCGACTTGGAAACCTTGACCAAAAATCACTGAAACTCTTTCACAATAACGGGAAATCATTTGTATATCTTGTAAAGGTATCAGCAATATGATCTGCTATCTCATTATACACATGTATACACCACCTAGATAATTTTGCTTTTCGACGTCCTATTACGTCCTAGCTCCAAAACGCCATGTCCATCCATATGCATTGAGTCTACGCTTCTCCAGCTCTCATTCAAAATCACATTACTCATCTAGTACCTTATCCCTCAATACAAGGACTTCTTCTCCCACTCCTGATCACCCTCTAATCTCATCGGCAAGTCCGCTTCCCAGATAGGTCTTTCTACAATTGCCACTTCCAGCCCATTTTTACCGCCCTCACCAATCTCCACCATACCGAGTATTGGTCTATACTTGAGCGTCTTGTACGTTTGAGCTGGTCCCCCAAACTTCTCATCTTCGCTCTTCTGCGGTTTTCTCCTTAGCAACGACTTTGATTCTCTGTCAATTTCATCGTCTTCCGAATCAACATTCATATCGTATTTGTTATTTTGAATGTCAATTTCGGTTTCTTGGGTTTCCTCCTCGTGGATGAGTTTGCGGATTTTACGGGACATTCCTGTCTCGTTCTCTTCTGGGTCAATCATACCACCAGCTCCGGATTTCCCTAGTTGGAAGCGCTTGCGCTTGCTTCCTGAACTCCCGGCATCTCCATCCTCTTCCGCTTCTTCATCCTCAAAATGGAAATCCTGTGATAAATCGAACATCCATAACCAGTTGATACCATGTAACCACATACGCTCGCGACCATTTGAGATATCCCACAAACAACCTCTTGCCAAATCTGCAACTTTACGGAATGCAAGGGGGAATGTAGAAGTAGGATTTCTGCGAGACCAGGGTGTGAGTGAGCCAGCTAAAACTTCAAATTCATAAACTTCATTAGTGGATGTAACAATGACTAGACGATCCTCGGCAACGGGTAGTTCATGAGATACAGGACGTGGATTATTGCGTGTAGCAGGAGGTGTAGCTCCATTAATTTGTACAGGGAGAGTTGCAGGGCGGAAAGATAGTACAACTGGTGCGGCGGGAAGTTTTGGTATACGAGTTGCAGACGGGTTTCGTGTCCAGTGTTGACCGAAGATCAGTTTTGGTTTCTTCTGTTCTTCAGCATCGGAACCATCGTCGGATTCATCGCCAGATGCGTCGTCTTCCTCTGCTTCCTCCAACTCTTGCGCAAGATCTTCGATTCCTTCCAGAACCCAAGTATCGACAAAACCTGCCAGGTCACTTACTACCAAGATCCGACTATCAGATGAGAATGCTGCTTGGGTGATAGTTCTTTCATATGCACCAAGACCACCTAGTAGCTTAGTTTTCGAGATATTGCGATCAAGACGAGAAAGTCTTGAGAGCTGAGGAATTATGCTAAATGACGATGGTGAATCATCATCCTGAATGACTCGCGCTACTGCGACTGAGCTATCATCCCGAATTATCGATATCCAGTTTCCGTCAGGGGAAAATTGAACCATACGAGCCCCAGAAGAAAATGCTTGTGGTACAGCGACAGTTGATACCTTAAGACCCTCGCCATCTTCGGGCTTTCGTGCCTTGAGGCGGAATAGCTTTATATCTGACATCGTTGAAACAGCGAGCAGGTTTCCCGCAGCATTCAAAGTCGCAGATGTGATATTAGACTCCCCCTTGACTAATATTTTCGCGACCAATTTGCGATTGACCGCCGCAGTCTCTGGCTCATCGCCATTGATAGATTCGGAAAGTCTGTTTATGCGCCAGATATTTATCTCTCGATCCCACCAACTCATCATCAACCTCTTTCTTGTAGAACTTTGAATGATAGAAGCTTGAGGTAGGAAGGGCAAGGCACGTTGGTTTTCTTGACCGGATTGCGCAAGTGGAATAATAGTAGGAGCAGCATCGGGACCTACGAAGAAATATTAGTATGCGCAAAAAGTATTAATGAAAAAAGAGCTTACCTCCGGAAGCCACAACGCTGATTCCTTGACATTCCAAGCTTGCCATGGCCTTTACATCGTGAGTGTGATATCTTCTGTGCCTGACTTCTGACCACCTCTTCTTCCCTTTGATTTGTTTGTAGACGACTGTTCGTCTATCCATACCACCACTGAAAAAGGTCATCCCATCAGCGCTTGTCGCGAGGCTGAGAACGTCTTGAGTATGACTCTTGATGTGCTGCATCATACTGTATGTTTTACCATGCCAGGTTTTGACTTCTCCCGTCGAGTCACCAGAAATGATATCTCCATTTGGTAATGCTTTCACAGCCCAGACAATGATATCCTTGGGCCCTCCTTTAGGTCCAGCTCCCAAAGACATCTGCCTTAGCATTGATCCGGTCCTTATGTCATAAATTCGAATATTACTATCTGAACACCCGGCAATAACATGGTAGCGATCCTGGAAAGCAACACTGATAATTTTCGCTTTTTTTGCAGATGGGCGAACAAGAACTTTTTGCAATTGTAGATTTTCATCTGCTGTCGAATACAAAACCAAAGCTCCGTCAACACAACCAGCAATGAGCTTTTGACACTCCCCGGAAGGCTCCTCCCCACGCTTTTGTTCCTCTGCAGGTTGAGCAGCAAGGCACCATATCTCACCATGATTGCCGCTTGCTGAACGTAATGGCTGACCTTTCACCAAATCCCACTCGGTAACAGTTGTAGTATATCCGATGCTGAAGAGTCTAGATTTCCCAATTATTTTTGTGCCATTAACTTCCTCAGTAGGATCTTGAGTCCAGACAAGTCCATCAATACTACGATCCTTACCACCTCGAATGATTGTTTCCTGAAGCCATGATCCTTTTTGCGGGTTCCAGAGCTCGATATCACCGTTTGCGCGACCGAGGGCCAATCGTGGAGAAGCGGCAGACTGACCTTTTGTCAAATTCGAGTGGGTGAATGCCAATGCATTGATTGTTGACGGGGGGTATGGAACGAATCTGCAGCGGTGGATATCCATTGCGCCGGTTTGATGTTAATTTCTCATTCAATTCTCAAGAGAAAAAAATAAAAAAAGCTCAAGAGGTTTTTCTGCCGGAAATTCGATCGTAGGCGGTGGAGGGGGTATGAGTCACGTGGTTACGATTACACACAACACAGCACAGCCGAATCAATGTTACATCAGTTTCGAAAATCTTCATTTGATTTGATGGAACAGGCCAGACCATATCATCTTGTCAAGTTGGCAGGCTATGCAATGGCTGGTAGAAGTATCTTCACTCGTTTTCAATTGTGAATTTGTGGGTGGATTGCAACAATTCAAGTGATTTTTGGATCATCAAATTTTACAGACAGCATCCAAAACTGCTTTTCTATCTCTTTGCGTGAAGAGAATGAGCTGGGAGTTGCAATTCTACAGATTTGGTATTCTAATCATCATATCAGAGCCATACAGTCTTGTAGTTCATAGGCATGGTATTCTTCAGCTATACTGATATGTTCGAGACGTTATGTCTTTGAAGTCTGCATCCCGTGCAGAAATAATCAAAACAGATAGAACTTTGAATCTCTGTCCCTCCTCCCCAAACTTCCGCCCGTTTTCTAAATTCCATTCCAACAACCTCAATTCGAATCAACAACAAGCCAAGGAACATAACATGTTCTTTTCCCATTTTTGACCGTCGAAATGAAAGGCGTGGATATATCCAGAATCTTCACGTCCTGTGGATGCCAAGTTTTCGGATTCTCATGATTGCACCAATCCTTTGTCGATACCGATTCAATCAGAATATTTGTGAATGTTACCGCTCCGGAGTCCCAACCAGGATCGGTGCCATTGCCGATACTCACATGCTCAATCGCTAGCAAGACCTATACAATCATCATCAGTTAAGGTTTCGAGGCTTGTATCTAAAAGCGCAGTTACCTCTGTCATGTCTGGGACTTTGGGTTCTGGTCAAATGTCAGTACCAATTAACCGACATTCAGGAAATGGAGGACATACCAAATTTGGATCCATCGAAAGTGTAATTTCCACCATATGATACTTCTCCTTTTGATGCGCCGATTTGACCGGGCATCACAGACCACGTATCGAGCCATTTGTTGGAGATTTCATCAAGTGTCCAGAGACTTGTTATTTGATCACCTGGATACACTGTTTGTTGAATTATTAGTCTTCCTCATGACCGATCTAAGTATGCATATCTTTTATCATTCTTCCCCCTCTCAAACCTCTGAGTAATAAAAAAAAACCTACCCTTCGGTTGTTTCTCCTCAAAATAAATCCCCGTCCAACTAGGCTTCGTCGCGCCGTCATAAAAACTAGGTATATGACTCCAATACCCGACCTCATTCCCCGCATTTCCAACAACATTCTGCAGAACGCAACTTTGATCTGTGGGCTGCATACCTGCCCATGTTGCTTGAATTTTCCAATCTGGGCTATGGCCTTGTAGCGCTGTTGGTGGGGAGGGTACTTGGAGGGTCGCTTGAAACTATTAGAGGGGAAAATATCAGTAGAAGCACTAAAGGAGGTGGAGGGGGAAACAAATACCCGTGTTATCTTCCCACCATATGTGAAGACAAATACCGCGGCTGCGCCTGTATAGTCGATGAGAGTAAGGATAAGTACAAGAAAAAGAGGAGCATGAACGGAATACATAGTGATAAGGATAAATAATTGGTGGATAAAAGCAATACGGATAACCCAGAGCACAAATCAAAGATTTATTTCAACGTTGCTTGCTTAATTTAAAACTTCTTATAGAAGATGTGTAATAGTTCTTGCGAGGTAGAGATCAGAGACTAGTCCTGTAGTCGAAATGTGAATTTCGCAAGTAGTTTGTCAATAAGTAACCAAAAGTGTTCCTATAAAAATCGTACGGTTCACCCTAGCAAAACCCACGTAGATATACCACGCCATCAGCAGGATCTTATTCACTCAGCTCTGAAATCTTTTCGCATCTGTTATGACTAGGTAGTCAATCAATATCATAAATGGGCTTAAAATGTGAGATCGGTATTCCTTCGGGCGATCAAGCCCTCCAAAGGTCGTTTTAAACAGCACTATGCCAATGGCTAACACAATATAGAGCCGGATCTGAATTGCTAATCATGGAGGTTCAAAATTGTCAAATTATGATTACTCTAGATGATATTATGAGAAAACACTCAACGGATACCATTTCTCGGAGACTAATAGTAGTATGTGTTCAGCTATACTGTCAACGCATTATCTGCTTCCCTCAGATCCCATATGTTCATTCATATCCTGTCCAATAAACCAGAACCTTCCATATACCCACTCCCCAAAGCGAACAACTCGCTTAATAGCATCCATCAAAGTAACCCTCATTGCTCCTCCCGAGTCCCATCCTCACTATCCCAAACCTCTACACCGAAGCCGTAGAATCCATAACAGTAAACCCTTTAAAAAAACAAATCATGCCTGTAATAGCCGGAAACACTCTAACGGATTCTATGTTACTAAGAGTCACATTGCTGAGTATAAGCTTATCAACGCTACACCAATCCATATTTGTGCCTTCGATTTGAATTAGGACATTTTTCCAATCCAGAGGGCCCATTTCCCACTTTGCGGCGCGATTGAGTTCGGTTGCGAGGATAGCCTGGGAGGTACTAGTCAAATTTGAGAACAGGTTAAGTTGAAATGAAAGAAAGAAAGCAAGAGAGATGATATGAATGCTACACACTTGTGTGAAATCTCCTATGTTGGCTGAAAGTTCCGTGTTAGTCAAAGCAAACCCACTCATTCGACGTTAAGAGCCAACTCACGATATGGTGAAATATCGACCGTTACGTTGCCCATGAAATCTACCTCTCCATTCGCGAGTCCCTCCGCACCTCTTCTAATCATCCAATTGACGAACCATTTATAAGACTTTGCCGGACCTTTCCACTGCTCAGAAGAATCCATTGAGATAAAACCATTCGAGATCAGATCTCCCGGATAAACATTAATATTCTTCCCATGAATCCTTTCACCTCCAGCCGATGCATTTCCAAGTTGGAAATACTCAAAAAACGACCATCGTCCTAGCGTTTCTCCTTCATTTGCGTATACAATTTGTAGAATGGAATTGCTGTTTGCAGGCTCGATTGCGGGCCAGAATGACTAGATTCCGGTGGCTTGGAGGACTGTTGGTGCTTTGGGTACAATTACTGTGGCTCGGAACTATATGGCCACCTTTAGTTTGCAGGGTTTTACAGAAATTCTAGGTGATGCTTACTTGAACGATTTTAGCATAGGGCTCAATAAAAACCGCGCCAGTCGCTATGAGATGCAATCTACCGAGGAAGAGAAGAATACTGGCAAAGACGTTAAGATCAAGAGAACGCATCTTGTAGGAAGACGCTGATTGTCTTGCTAATCGGTGGGTTTCAATGAATACATTCAAAATAAGGAAAGCCAGAGGTAGGTAGATGATGAGAAACGGCAGGGTTGTTAAGTGTTACTGTCAATGGCTTTTCATAGGAAGAAAAAGGGCTCCAAACGGGTTTCTAAGATGCATAGTTAAACGATGGGCAAAAACAACATCCCACATGCATTATTCACTGGACCAAACGGAGATTGAGACACATAATCTGCAACGACGAACCACTGGCTCACGGGGAGATAGAATGAAGTTGTATGCCTGACGTAGCAAGTATGGATAGTATATTGAGCGGCTGTTCACCGCCATAGTTCGGGAGTTCTAAGCATATAACACACCGAAAAGATTCATGCACAAAACGAATTCAGGATACGAAACGATCTTTGTCGGATTGCAATTTGGGCTAATCTGGGAATGATAGCGAGTCTCACAATCTTTTGATTAAATGATATATTTCAATATATAGCAAGACAGCGTTCGCGACTCAGGAATCAGTCTTCTCTCCCACCAGAGCCTCGAAATCAACTTCACCCTGAACATTGAATTTCCATTTGACATTTTCCCAACCTTTTCTTCTCTTTATGTTGACTTCAACATCATTTTTGGGCTTCCTGACCGCGGTCCCCAACTTTTGAAAAGCTCTATCAGGCACACTTGAACCGTCGATATCGAATCCCATAATAATAGCAGCAACAAGTGAAAGGATTTCAGTTGTGGCAAAATGTCTTCCTGGGCATAAATGCTTTCCACCACCAAAGGGAAAATACCCCTGTGTTTGCTGTTTCTTTTTTTCTTTGCCTAGTTTCGCAATGGTACTTGGTAGGAATCGAAACGGATTAAACGAGTTAACGTCTGGTCCCCAGATTAATGGCGAATTGTGAGTGACGCCAGAAGGGAGTTGTATGACGTTTCCAGCTTTAAGCAAAAACGAAGATTGAGAGGTTGATGATGTGAGTATCACATCTTGGGTGACGGATCGAACAGATGTTGCTGCATCAGCGAAACGAAGCGTCTCACGAAAGCACGATATCAGTATAGGACAACGGGAATGAAACAGAGTAATGTCCATGACACATTCTTCTATTCCGTCCTCATCTTTATTTTTAGATATGATGTTGAAGATCTCGGTCCGAATGGAAGATATCAAAGCCGGATCTGAAAGAATGTTAACAAGCAGCCAAAAACATGTTGGTGCCGAATTGGTTGTCGCGAGGAAAAGTGTAGCGATTTCGATGTTCGCAATCTCCTCAGCTGTGAGACCCCATTTCTGGGAGCACTCTAATCGTGATTTGATGAGTGTACTGGCGATCATATGATGTGATGAAGCATAGTAGGATGCAAAGGCTGTTTCGATGGCTCTACGGCCATGATAAGCCTTCGGGCAGATAAATGTAGGAAGGAATTCAAGCATAAGCATTGTCATGTTTTCCTCGAAGTCCCTGGCAAGAGATCAGCACTGACTTACAAGTTTGGGGGCAGGTTGTCCAATAGTCCGAATGAACAGATCAAAATTAGATATTCCCAATTCATTTGGTATTCCGATACAAATGAAAGCACAAAATGTAACAGAATATAGGAAATTCATTCGACACATAGAAATGATTCAGTACGGACAATTGGACCCTGGCTGGGATATTATTGCTAACCAGAGAGAATCTATGAGGCTGTGATTAGCACTCACGGGATCGTGTGGCCCGTAAAGAGACGCAGAAGTAGCCAACGTAAGAGTATCTCTCATCCATTTGTAGAGTGATACTTTGCCAGAGTTCTGATCAAGGTTATTGAGGATATCAGCGACAGCGCCCAGAACTCCTTTGTTCAACTCTAGCAGACTCCCACTGGGTCCTAAGTATTCTACCATCAATCCATGATTCTCGTTTAGGTACGATATCCCGTTATTTCCATTTAAGAACGGCCCTTTCGGGTCATAATCTGGAGAAGTTTCCCCGCGAATTATTTTCATCCCATGCTCGCCAATATTGAACGCGCGTTTCGAAGAATCAACAACGAATGTAGTAAAATCAAACGCTTTCGTGTTTCGATATGCAGCTTGAATTAGTGAAGGTTCGCAGATAACGTAGATACGTGCGGCGAATATCTTGAGCGTGAAGACCGAATAAAGCGGGTGCTTGGAACTGTAATGGAAATAAATGGTAAGTCTGTGTTCTTTGAAGGGGGGTGGATAGCTTCGTGTAGAGATCAAAGGGCCAAGCAGCAACTTTCTCAAAAGTACCCCGCAGGCCCCTGTTATGTAGTTGCGCTAATCTCATACCTTAACGTCTGGAAGTAGCCAACTTGTCCCTTCAGCATACCAATCAAATGCCCAAATAGTGGAATCCTTGATTTGACCTCGGGAGGTTCAGTCCCTTTTGTGCCCTCCTCGTCCTTATGACCAGGCCTACTAAACAATACTGCAAGCCCAATACCTAAGATCAAGGTAAGTGCAATTAGAAGCCTATTGGCGTGGTAATCCTGCAACCTCAAGAACGAAGGAAACATTGTCGTCGCAGAAGCATTGATAAACACCATGGTGAAAGCTCAAGATGAACACAACGCGAAAACTGAAATCTCGAATGCATCTTTTTAAGGAGAGATAAAGGACCAAACAGCAACCAAAGAAGCTAAAGGTACATGGCTCATAGCAGCACCTACAATCACCTACTCCATACAATATTGAGGACGATCAAAGCGGAGCATCTTCTCAGTGGGTCGCGGAAACACTTGAAGCCGGAGAAGTTAGTTTCAAGTCTTCAAGTTATTTGCAAGCTTAGGGCTGGAGGAGCTCGACCATCTCTTATTTAGTTCGCATTGACCTGATCTGATGGAACCCCTATAGCCCAATGAAATGAAAGGTTTCAATCAGCAACGAAAATCCTTAAAAATTTTCCACTTATGTTCAATCATTTGAAAGAGGAGGCTCAGGACTTGGAAGGTTTGACGAAGTTGAAGGAGCAACAGAGCCGAGAGAGCTTCAATCAGTGCTGAGCAGCCTGAGCTCCACCACCACACCTGGGCAATTATAAGTGTGGCTGAGCAACCCGGATTTGAGCCACTGTGGCAGCTTAGCAGAAGCTGGCCCGGGGAGATCCCTAGCACAATTTCCACCACTCATTTTCACTTGACATGCAGTTATGTCTCACAGTATGTATGCCACCAACAATGCATGAGATCAAAGAGAATCCAACTCTTGAGACCTTGCCCAGGAACTTCACTTGAATCTTACAATGTGAAGTATTCGGTATTCTATGCTACCTCGATGGGAAGATATCAGAACATACACAGTGTACATGCACAGCATCTGTTGACAACGTCTTTGGACGAACGAGGTTGGCCTTCATACCTTCGATATTCTTCATGATGGAAGCATTAACAGGAAGAAGTCCCCAGGTTTCATGTCATCCATTTCACATAATGAGCGCTGCGCATTGTGCAATTCAACTCCATCGATTGGGTGATTGATACAATCCTAGATGCCTGATCAGGAAGGCGTATGGCCCAAAATCCATTTAATTCACAGCTTGGGATTTTACATGAAGGAAAAGGGAGTTTCAAATCATGCAATCTGGGTCTAGTGATTCATAGAGCCCTAAACATTTTGAGTGGTCAAGTGAACGGCTCACATTCTATACCTTTGCATATTGTGGCGACGTCCTTCTGCATATTGTGTTGCATAATTTCCCGCACTTTGTTTGTTGTTATTACTCAGTCTGTTGTCACTTGCTGACATGAATCATCACTGTCCCGTCGTTGTATCCTTTCAGATTTTCCAAAAAGAAAGCAAAGAGCTGTCTATCCAAGAATCATTTCCCATTCAATCGACTATGGATCTAAGCGCAATTTCAAATCATAAAGGCGGATCTCCTATATCCATGGAATCTAATCAACCAAATCTTCGATTACATGTTATGTTGTTGGAGATGCCAAATAGCGAATTGTTGAATGACGAATTTTCAACTATAGATTTCCTATGGCTTCGAAGAGTAATTGTAGGCCAGGGTTCTATTTATAATGACCTACTGATCTCTTCATAGAACAATCCCTGGCCAAATATGGTCAAGTTAGTGGTATATCGCTTTTTACACATGCGCAACCTCTACCAGATCGACCAGGGAGACCAGATCAATGAACTTGTCGATTACATATTCAGAAACGGGGAATTGCCAAACAACCAAGATTGCAGAGCACAAATGATTCACCGATGCAAAAAATTGATCCACTCAGCTTCTCAATGGTCATCAAATGGTATATTGATGTACAATGAAGAAAACCGTCTGGTCAAGAGTGCAATTTTCCAAAACGCTTGGAACAATCAAATCATCATCATGCGAAACAGAATCAAGGTGACCAATAAAGAAGTACTTGTGGTTGAAGTACCGAATGATATTCCTGCAAAGGTACCCCTTTTCTCTTTTTCTTGTTAAATGTTGAACTCACCAATCCCGTAGGTTTCGGAATCCAACAGTGTGGTATCTGTCGCAGACCGGAGCCCATTTCTGGAAGGAAAGCAGAACAGCTCCGAAATGACCACCACTACCGAACCTCTTATCAAAGTTGATCCCGATGAACCTGTGAGATTAGTTGACGAGAATAAGACAGTGTCTCGAGTGAAATTGGAGCACCTTGAGTCAGAAAAAGCTCGACCAGTGCTGGGAGATACTCAACTAAATGTTACAGATGAGACATATCATTTCTCTGCCTCTTACTGTCATGGTTTGCCTAATTTTGAATCCGATATTCCTGATAGTCAGGTACCACCACTGGATACAGCATCAAGTTCTCAGTCCAGTTCTTCACGAAATGATATCATGGCTGAGGTCATATTCTTAAAAGACTCGAAGCGTACCAACTATTCCGAAGCTTTACTTTCAAACCATACCCAAAAGTTCAAAGCCTGTGCACAAATAACTGTGCTCACCCCGAACAAAGTCCGTCGAAAAGTTGTTCGTGATGCAATGAGTCTGATCTGGGACAGTAATCATGACTTAGTCCTCTTCTGGAAATCTGTGGCTTTGCGAGCGTCTACCATAATCAAAATCACGTTCCCTGACGCCGCTTGGTTACCTGGAGTCACTGTTGACATTAATAGTGATGACGATCTTCTCAGAGCTAGGCAGACAACCTGGAATAGCTTCTGGATATTCATCGCCAAGCAACCAGAAACCCTCGTCTCGACTTTCAATATCAATGCAACCCCCGAAAGCCCCTAAGTCTCGGTAGCACTCTCTAAGCGACAACGGAAGAGTATACCTAATGATGCTATATCTAATCACCAAAGGGACGGCTTGAGCCCTTGTTCCAGCGATGCGTATGATGTAGCATTTCGAAATTATATGGCTAAAATTGGTAGCCAGAGATCTTACGATAGTTCTATTCCATGTGAGGGAAGTCCAAGTATCGGCCAAGTTCCAGTGTCACCAAAATCATTGCCATTGCTAAAAAGACCTGCCAAGCGACCGCGCTTGACAGAACAACAGCCCACAACAACTCAAACAGAGCTTGCAAACACCAAATCAGATCCCATACTTGCGGAACAACAGATACAGCTGCAGATACCACAACAGCAGATGCCAGAACGCCAAATAAATCAGATTCATCAGCAAGAACAGAGACCGCACCCAGTTCGATCACTTGCAGGGTCTCACATTATGGGATCTGCATATCATCCTCAGTCACAACGGTTCATACAAGCCCAGCCTCTCCAACCAAACAGCATTCACACACAACCACGGACCAGCCTTCCATTGATAGATACAGCTGCGGTTCACCATGAGCCGAACAATTCATTCGCGTCATACGCATATCAAGCATCGCCACGTACGAACCATTCTCCCAGTTTGCAGACTTTACCGGCGATGCTTCCTACACCAACTGCATACCATGAAAACATGCCCTCTCAACGCATTCCTCGAATGCCCGCACCCACTCACACGTCTTCATACCAATATCCTCCGTATACCCACGCATCAGCACCAATGTCTCCTGAAACCATGGCTAGATCTCAATACCCCCCACTTGCAGCACATAATCCACCACCAATGCCAATACTAAGACTCAACCATCATACCCAGACTTTCAATCATCCTGCATTACCCCAATCCCCACCCATAACCCCCCAGTCCCATCGCTTTCCTACATATCCCCCCTCCAATCCAACCCCAACCCCAACCCCAACCATCCAATTCCGCATCCAACTCCAACCCAACGGCCCCTTCAGCCCCCCCTACCCCAAAACCATCCTCAGCACCCCAGGCAAACCCGCAACCACCACCTCCCAATTCTTCACCTCCTTCACCGCAAACACAAGTCCCTTCCCCGGAGGGAATCCCGACTCTCTGACCTTCCGACTCAAAGACGCAGTGCCCGTCCCAATCGCATATACCGTTTCTCGATCAGGAACAGTGGATGGAGTCGATGCACTGGTAAAGCTGAGAGCTGATATCAAGAGAGAGTGTGAGAACGCGGGGAGATTGGTCATGGGATTTGAAAAATTTGAGATCTACGTTAGCATCACGGAAGGAGCAAGTAAGGAGAAGGAGGTAGAGCTACCTGGACAGGTGTTGGGGGAAGAGTGGTAATGTTGCAAATGGAATGGTAGAGAGATGGCCATGATGACTCGATGATCTTTCATAAGACGGTTCTCAGCTAATACTGCACGAAATCCTGACTACGATATTTATTTACACAAAGGAACACTGTGGTCGATGTGTTACAAAACTTTTATCTTGAGTATGAATTTTACAGTCGATTCCTCGATTCCTTTTCAAACGAGATACCTATACTTGATATCTCACACATAAAATAAAATCACATCACGACACTAATATCTCCGCCATTCACTTCTCATCGCTCGTAACCCAAGATCCGATCACGATGAAAATGGATACACAATATCTATTAAGAATTCCCAACCTTCTATTCATCTATTAACTATGAATTATTAATTATAAACTTCCATGTATTCTGTTCCAAAAATTCGTCCATCATCCATCATAATCGGAATAATCTGTGGTTAACACCACTATAAATGCAAGTCATCCATGATGTACTGATTAATTTATGTGATACAAGTGATGAAATAACATATTAGTTCCATTCCATGTTATTGGCACAGCTGAAATCACAGAAGCCATATCTGACCCATAACAACCATGATGGCAATAGGACCAATAGTCGAGATGACATAAACAATATTCGAAACAGCAGGTGTGATAAGGGCGAAGATACTGTTATCGATACCAGTTGATGCAGCCGATGCTTGGCTAGCAATCGGCGGACTGATACTTGTAGATGTTGCAGGAGAAGTGTTTTCGGCCGGTGTAGATTTGCTCGTGGTTGGAGGTTTGCTCCCTTTGTTACTTGATTGGGCATTACCCGTTGGTCTGATGACACGTTAGTCTTTATAGTAATGAGAGAATATATGGACGACTTACTGAGAAGTGTTTCCTGAGAATAGAGAAGCAGCACTAGCCACTGCTCCGGATGCAGAAGCGGCGCCACCAGCACTAGCACCTGATCCAGCAGATCCAGCAGATCCAGCAGATCCAGCAGCAGCTCCCCCATTACCAGCTCCTGAATTGGTGCTATTAGTGAAAGGGGGGTTTGGTCTAGAAGGAGACGTTGTATTCGAGTTCTCTGAGCCAGGCACAGGGTTCTTGGGTCCCGAGGATGTTGAGTTAGATGCAGGCAAGGGATTCTTCGGTCCCGATGCCGTGGAGTTTGAACTTTCTGGAGCTGGTGCGGAGTTATTTGGACCTGATGCCGGTGGTGGACTTTGATTACCCGATCCAGTCGAGTTCGGAGGCTTTGATGCCGAGTCTGAGCATACTCTATGAGAATGTTAGATGAGAAAAATGAATTGTATGAATGTATCTACATACGAGATAGTAACGGTGACAGTTTCGGCTCTAGCCACGAAAGCTCTAGCAATCAACTCATGCGTTGGTAGAGGAGGAGCTGTTGTTATTGAAATAGAAGCTGCCGGAGCAGAGACACATGCTGCACAATCACAAGACTCGCCATGAGAATCGTGGTGGGCATTGTATGCTGCTGCTTTTTTCGACAATTCAAAAGCGGCCAATGAGTGAAGATCAGTAGGAGTTGAGGCTAGTTGGACTGATGTGCTCGAGATACTTGGTCTTGACTTTGCCATGGCAATGGCAAGTAGTCCTGTAGCATCACGAACAGTGTTGCTAACGCCAGTAGGATGTGTCACCAAGCTGTTGATATTGGCTAGAATAACGGACACCATATCAGATCTTCCTTGAAGAGCAAATGAGACTGTGTTTGTCCCTTGAGCAAGAATGGCAGAGACAGTGGTAGATCCTTCCTCCATGGCTTGCTTTTGTGATTGTATGTGGTCGATGATGAGAGATGTTGGAGTGTTCAAAGAGGCAGGCTCGTATTCATTCAATGCTGAAATCTCACTTCTAGCAGTGGATGGCGTAGAGATTGTTGTTCTATGAAGCAACGTCAGCTCGAGCAAAAGAATGACTGGTTGACACCTACTGCCAATCAAGACCGAAAGTGAAATCTCTTTTCCCCAAGCTAACACCATCCTTGCGGACAAATGCTTTTAACCCCTCTCCAATGAATACAAGTATGAGAACCGAAAAGGCAATAAGTGTAGCAACGACCATGGCAGGACGCCCGAACCGACGTGAAGGCATGATTTCAGCGAAAAAGATTTTGGAAAGAACGTGAAAATGCTTGAAGCAAGTAAAACGGAGTTATGGCTGTATCAAAGACCAAAATTGCATCAATGTATGTGCAGAAGTGAAGGTTACAGAGACGAGGACCAAAATTTACCAAAATTGCATCGAGCGAAAGTTGTATTGAAGAAGTTTGAAGAGAAAGAGAAGAAAACAAGAGAAGAGAAGAGAGATAAGACGGCTTTTCTTATTGTTGGCGGGATTCTGAATGGTTCTTTCCTCAGTTGCAGACTAGTGATGCTTCTATTTCCATAATTGTCAAGGAACTCCTTCCCTATCAGCATTTGCTCCAAAGGATCCTTCCTACCTGCCATTCCGGTCTTCCTAATCGAAATCCTTCGGTTTTTTTTGCGCCTTACTTCCATACTTCAAATCATAGGAAAAAAATCAATCACAGTAGCAATTCAATCAAAATGAAGGCAATCAGTTCATTGAGACATAGCTATAGACCCTAGCTTTTAACCCCATATAAACCCATTTGCATAAACTAAAGAATTATTTTCACAAGCCCACTACACACCTAGTAACGCTTGCCGGCACGGAGAGAATCACCGAATTCCTCCAAAGGACTTCTGATGAGCTTGGTCTCCTTCCATAAGTTAGGAGTCAAGTATCCGTATGTGTTGGCAGCAGCGACGAAAGTAGCCTTCAAGGTGTTCTCAAGGGTCTTGGTCGAACCGGAGGAGGAGGTGTATGCATCTTCAACACCTGCGAGTTGAAGGAGACGCTTGACAGCTGGGGAAGCGACAAGACCGGTACCACGAGGAGCTGGGATAAGCTGGAGAAGAGAGAAAAATCAGCAAATAAATCAATCATAGTATTTTCAAGATGTTACTTACTCTGACAGAGACGGATCCGCACTTTCCACTCTCCTTGGTTGGGAGGGAGTGAGGAGTACCCAAGTTGGTACCCCAGTAACCTCTTCTAATCGGGACAACGGACAACTTGGCGATGATAATAGCAGCACGGATGGCAGTTGCGACTTCCTTGGAGGTCTTGATACCGAGACCGACGTGTCCCTCAGAGTCACCGATGACAACGATGGCCTTGAATCTGGTACGTTGACCGGCACGGGTTTGTTTCTGGACAGGCTTGATCTGTACACAAAATTCACATCAGTATCTGTATTTGCCAAATTTCCATAATCGCATAAAGGCGATTTTTGTAAATTTCGCATACCTTCATGACCTCATCCTTCAACTTTGGCAAGAAGAAATCAACAATTTGGTACTCCTTGATTGGCAAAGAGTGGAGGTAGATCTCCTCCATGGAGTTGATCTTTCCATCCTTCACGAGACGGCCAAGCTTGGTAACTGGTTGCCATTCCTTTGCCTCGTCCTTGTTTCCTCCACGTCCGCGACCACGTCCACGTCCACGTCCGCGTCCGCGATCTCCTCCACGGCCTCTGTCGCCGAAACCTCCTCGTGAGCCGCCTCTTGGTGCGTCAGCCATATTGATATCGAATTGATCGTTAGGTGGTGGTTGGCAAGTCGGTGGGCGTTGAACGATTAGGAGATCAAGAACTTCGAAATTATTGATTAGAATTTGGAAGTGTGGGATATTTTTCGCTTAAGCAATTATTTAGTCACCCAAAAGCAGATTAGCGCACTGATGAGAAAAGTTTATGAATGCCTGATTAAAAGCACTTGTAAGGATCAGGCATTTCTTTAGAGGGGCAATCACGTGTACTGTTCACTTTCCTTCCTTCAAGTGGAGGTGTGTTTCTGCATATCATCTAGTGTTTGTTGAATGTAACCTTCTATTATATGTATACATGTTTTCTCACTCATTCACCTTGATGTGAATTCCTCCATCAATTGACGTCGTCTGGTCTTTCTACCACTTATTTACCCTCTTGTGGTCGACAGAGATCGGCCAATCGATTCGTCTATCGCAAGTATCTGCTTTCGAACATGCAGTTATCTACATGCATAATGCCCAACGGAAACTCGTCAGTTCGAGAATTGGTCTCTTTTGAAGGCTTAAAAAGCTGGAAATGAATAGTTTTGCTCGATATCAGACTACACAATAATATACACAGTCAAACTTGAGTATTGCTACCTCATATTTGCCACCTCGTACGAACCAGACTTAAACTCCATAGCATCATACTGAGTTCCAATTCCATAATTTGCCAGATACCGATATTACCATTCAAGGAAATGAGGTTACCAAGTCCAATCATTCACTCCATTTCGCCTTGCCATATCAGAAAAATTGGGTCGGACAGTTCCGTTTTGCTGCTTCCCACATCATGATTCATCAGAGTAAAGAGATGAAAATTCCATCAATTTGGAAGGATGTCTAGTAACATCAATGAATTCCGTGTCATTGTACCTTTTCGTACGCCATTTCCAAAATCATGTAGGTCCTCGTTACGCCTCGAAATTAACTCCTATGGTCCATCACTTACCAAGAAAATGTTGTTTCTCTGTACCGTGGGTTTCCATTATCACCTTGTTTTAGCGTCAATTGTACCGCCAACCATCGCTCCTCAGAGTTCAAATGTAAGTATGAAATCGCCCATCTGTATGATTCTGGGATTGGTTGGTCATCTTCCTGAATACCTTCTCCCTCAATACTCGAAATCCATGCGCAGATCCTTGCTACGCTAATGGTGTCAAAGCAAAGCCCTTCTCGCCTCGCTTTAGACCAAAGCAGCGCTATGGCCTGACGCCTAATTCGTCGATCACGACATTTTACTGCAGTGATGACGAGAGGGAGGATTGTTCCCATATCGAGAGTGAAGCGAGATGTGTTACTCGGGTCATCCGGACTAGAAAGTAGAACCTGAGCTTTGCATATAATCTCCGCAAAGAGATGGTTGTATTCGTCATATAGCATCTCTGTATGTGGAACACTTGATGCAACAAGTATCGTGGCGATGTTATAATAGATGCTCACCATATGTGTCGCATCGGCAGAAATACTTCCAGTGTGTGCTTCTTCAGCATGGACGGATTGGAAAGCTTTTCGCCATCGAAGTAGCTGTGTGGTGTAGTGGTTATGAAGTCTGTTCCAATATGGCGTAGATAATTGCTCTGGCTCAGTTTGCGACTTAATCAGATACTTTGTATGGAATTGACCAATAGCGGCCATCAGAAAATCCCATACTTCTCGAGCTTCTTGGACGCTATCAAATTCGTCTGGAATGTCCATGTCATCTTGAAGAAGATTTGGAACAGGGTATGGTGGTGGAATGAAAAGCCCTTGAACATCAAGACGAGCAAATAGCCGGCCCAAATCGTCGACTAGACTATCCTGGATCTCGGACAATGAATCGTGCGACAATCGAGAACTTCCCCCTCTTCGAGCAATCCTCCAATCAGCTAACAATCGAGAACCGCCTCTGAGATGGGTCAAAGCACCTTCGTAGCTTCCTTGAAGAGACTCAAACGTCATAAATAGTACGCACGCTGTAAGAGATGTTCTCAAATGTCTTCTACCATCGGAAAGTATTATCCTTAACGAAGCAATGGCTCTACTATATTCCCTTAGTGCGAAACGGTGGTGTTCATCTAGGTGATGATGATCAATTTGGGGAAATCCTGAAAGTGATAGTCGAGTTGGAGAAGAGGTGACCTCCAGAGACTTCGCCAAAGCTCCCAAGGCAATAGTTGCATATCTTATGGGCGCATCTTGGTGACAGAGTTGAGGAACCTTCTCTGTCCAAAAGGTAGGATCAAAAGAACCACAGATCTCGGCTGCTGTCTTGTCACAAAATCTTTGAAAATACCGCCGTTCGAGTTGATCACCATGTATAGCGACCGAGGGGGTGTACGACATCACAGACATCGGTCGTGGATGGATAGGTACAAGAGCGTTTCCATTTTGTTTGGAGACATCTTCGATCTGCTCTGGAGCGTATCCACCACACTCGCGACCGAGGTTTTGACACCTAATACATTGTGGTTTGGTTTCGTCGCATTTAACACGTCGCTGTCTACAATGTATTAGTCAGTTACGGATCTGATGACTGTCCGATAAAGATTCCCTGGTGGAGAAATCCCAATGGAGTGGATCCGCAACTCTGACTCGACTTACTTGCATGTTGAACAACCCGTCTTCGATCTCGGACCGCTTTTTCTGAGTCCTTGACTTCTCGATGTTTGTTCTGGAGAACCTTGATCAGGGGCAGAAAAATTATTGAGAAATTTATACACGTTTGGGTATGGAAGCCTCAGTGACATTGCTTTTGTCGTGAAGCCTGTACAATTGCCGCATTAATTTACCGACAGCCGGAAGAATACTCGTCGGGGTTTCGCCAGGTTTTGTGTGGGTAGTATTGTAATTCTTCCTTCCACTCTTTGTGCTATTTGCTTCAAAGTTCAAAGGGGTTTGTTTCTTGGAGTCTTTTGAATGAGCTAGAAATTCTCGTAGTTATTGATAGGAGTCGGTCCGTTATTATTCACGAGAGTAACGACAAGGGAAACCTCGTCTTGGACTGGTGACTCGGCCAACAACAGACACGGTTTTATTGTTTTCATGGGCAATTTACATTAGCGGGACAATGCGCAGGCTTCTGGTCAAGGGTAAATGAAGGTGAACGGTATAAGAAGTTTACCGACACCCAGATTCGTTATATTATGCGGCATGTATCAGCAAGCTTCCAGTCACACTTAGCAAGCATTTATATACCTTAGTGGTCAATCCCCTCGTTTTTCAGTGCAGCTTGCAGCTCTATACCCCTCTCTCAAACTGAAGAAAACGGCGAACTGACTATCGAATCAGGACATGGCATAACAAGGGTTTACGCCACTAAATGACCAATGACAGATGCCACGGGCAAGGTTTTGTGTGGGCGTGCCAAGACTTGTATCCAGGAAGTGGAAAATAGACAGGATCCAACACGTGAGAATGTGCCTCTTTAAAAGCTTTCATAGAGCTCTAAGCTTGGCTTGTTCAATGTATTGTTATGCGAATCGGCGAGTGAGGAAGGAGGGTGGATCAAAAGATAAACATTCATTGGCTACGACCCGGTGCCGCCCCTCTTATACAGGAACTAGCGCTTATTAAGTCACTTTCTCACGGAGAACCTAACCGAAGAGCCGGAACATCAAAAATCCCCAAATCGTATGATGAATCTGAAAAGCGTGATACTTTCAAAACAAGAATATTCGCGAATAATGCCTGTTTTAGACATCATGTGGCTTGAGCCAAAACAAGGTTCTTTAAAGCTTACCGTCGAGCCCATTTGGAATACCACAATCCCCCACAGAAAGCTGAGATCTTGTCTATCCCATGGGACGCCACACTTCAGTGGAGCCTACCTCCTCTCATCTTCAGTAATATGCACCTCGTGTGATTTTCTCAAAGAGACTCCAGGAAACTTCATTTGTTCCTGCGTTCTATCAAGACCGGGAACCGTGGAAGTCCTCGCCAAAATCAGCCTTACCCGTCATCGATTTCTTCATAGCAATTGTCATCATCACTTTACCGCGACATATAACAGATCGACCAAGGAAACGATGAAGCTTTAATTTGGATAATACGGTGAAGCTTTTCCTCACGTCACAAAAATTCGGTTCACAAAGGGTCCAATGGGAAAGTCTCAATCGGAAGGAGCAATGCTTGGAAAACCATGCAGAGACTCAATTTATGATGTCTGCAATCTGTAGAAGATCTACAGGCGTCTTTGTATACTCTTTACTAAGAGATATGACTGGGTTTGAAACTCGCTTCCATTCTCATGGAGCGCCTAAATGTGCTTGATGAGTGGTACAATCTCACTCAACATGCCAGAAAATCTTGACCCAAGATTTTTGACTACGGCTGAATTTGCGACACTACATAATCTCTTTTGGTCTAGTGGACGATGAAATGATTATACACACAGGCAAGGTCATGCAATGTGAGCTTCTAGAAGTAAACGCCCCTCGCTTGTGCATATCTCAGAGCGGACTGCGAGTATTCTAAGGATGCCATGCATGATGCATATTGGTATTCCAAATATCCACATGAATATCATGAGCTTCAAGGGATATAGAAGCCCTGAAATTCGAATTGGTGAACCACATCCTCGGGATCTAAATTACATTATTCAGGCTCATTCGTTATCTTGCGATACAGTAGCACAATTGGTTGAATTCGAGGCACAAAGTCTACATGCAGTGTTTGCTGCACAATTTTTCGAGATATGCATTCATTCTTCAAGAACCAATCGAAATCTGTTGATAATCGGCAAACATGAAATTCAGCACTTTTGTCTGTTCAATATACTGCTGCATGTACTTGTACTACTACTACTCTGCATGTTGCACAAATACCATCGGGCCTTTTCAATAACGAATTGACAGACTTGATCTTATGATTTTGATCTCCAATATACCTCACACACTCGCTTTATAATCCACTAAGCATGTTTTTTTGTTGCTCGGCCCTACTTTCGCAGACCGCAACCACCTCGCATTTGTCAAAGACATGATAGGCAAGACATTCGCATTCTGAAGAAGCATAACAAGGCTTTCATATTGAAACGGGGTTACAAATTATCCACCAATTAATGTTCGTCTCTCCGTTAAGCATGACATCAATAAACCATATTGATCCTTAACATCTACCAATTTCAGCCACTGCTACCAAATTTATCAGCTCCATTCCCAGCTCTGTTTTTCTTCGAGAAGAAACTCCGGGGCATGATATTCATCTCCTCTTGCCTTTTTTTCCACCCTTTTGTGCAACCATACCATCATCATCTTGCAACCTCTTCTTCCCTCGTCGTCTTACAAACGCAAACGTAGAGCACTGCTCGGCCGTCATATTCCTCTTGCTACACTCGTTACAAGGAGGACTTCCCAAGCAATCAAATCTCTTTTTCTTTCGTTCGCATGGTGGGCATTTTGGTTTGTTTGCTCGCGTGGCATCAGTCGAGGATGGGCGCCACACGCGCTCGGGGAGCGGAGTTCGGGGTTTGCATATGTTTGGGTCGCTTATCGATGGCACTAGTGCTTTGGGAGTAGAGACATCTAGAGCAATTTCAAGCGCGTTCTCTGCTAACTTGCGAAGTTGCCAATCTCCCAGGGCTCTAATGGGCTCTTCGTCGGAACACTCGTTGTCTGCATCGGATCCACTGTGATCTTGAGGTTCGTTATTGGGCGACTCGGGTAGCCGGGGTACCTCGGATGAACAGTCGGATCGTTCCGGAATGTCAATTTCGATAGGCTCAGGTGAGGGGCTCAGAAGTTGAGTGATCTCGACCTCAAGGGAATCACCAGGAACTTCGGGCTCGGAAAGTACTTCATCGGGGAGATATGTGGTGGAAAGCTGCAAGTCAAGATGGGGCGAATTGGGAAGGTCATTTTCCTGAGGTTTGTTTTCTGCAGAATCTCTACCTGGAGTATGCTGAGTGACCTCGCTGCCGTAGGTTTCTTTGCATGGTGAGTTTTCGTCCGACCGCGCGTCAATGTCAGAAAGATCTTCCTCTGGAGTTTTAACTTCAGGAGTTACACTTCCTGAAGTTCCAGAAGCACTAATTTCGCAGACCTCGGTGATTGGAGATTTCTCTTCGGACCGTTCTCCAATAAGTTCTTCATGCTCAGAACCCTGAAGTTGTACGTTGGAAGCTTGATTTTCGTTCTCCATTCTTGGGTTACAGAAGAGAAAGGCTGACGAATTAAGAATGGTGGAAGAGGCAGCACGCGCGTATATAAGTATTACACAGCGTCAAAAGCGAGATATCAATGAATCATTATGCGGTAGAACCAAGCAATTGCACCGAAAGGCAGCCTCAATGCACCTTTGACCAGTGAATATGCTGTCGGCAACATATCGAGTTTATTCTACCCATGCTATAATATTTCCTTGATGATTCTTGCGATTTTATTCTGCTGGCGCACACCGGTGATACGGGCGGGTAGACGCTTGGCGCTGATAGCTTTTGACAAGCAACTCTTTAACTTGACAATGCAAACAACACCCCTGCCTAGGCAAAGGTGCTTTGATGAATCAAGCATCTCCGTCCGTTCACCAGCCGAACTCATTGTGTGAACATGAAGCTTCTTGGCAATATTTCATGATCTTATCCAAAGAGCCAATCGTTCCACGGTTTATATCTTTGTTATCCTGATCTTATTGTGACGACTACTAGAGAAACTGCATTACAAATATTCCAATTTTCTCTTCTTCATCTCATAGCACTGGAGATTTCTATGTTATCGAAGCCTGCATCTAATTGAAGCAAAGCAACGCACCTGTATTTTCAAGCATGATTTCATTATTTCTTTCACGCTGTAACTTTTCACTTCACCCAATCCTTCAGGTATGTATAGTCGGTAGCTATTGAAGTTTAACACAACAATGGAAGGCAATAAGGTCTGATCAAAAAGTTTTAACAACCCAAATGCCTTACACACTGCATACTACAACCTCATAGATAACTGTGTGTAGCTAACTTCCTATTGGTCCTCTCTTATTGTTATTGCGCGCCAAATCTTTTTTTCTCTTTCATATTGTTTCCATTGTCTCATTCATTGTCACTATCTTTCAATGACACTTTTCCATCTCGCTCGATTTCCCATATTCAAGGTGTTCTACAAACTTCATGAGCTGGGTACGAGAAGCTTATGTCCGAAGACTCATTTTTCATTACAACACTCATCCACCCGTTTTCTTTCCTAACCACAAGTTTGTAAGTTCTTTTCCGAAATCGATTGGGATGATAATGGAGTTTTGGTACTGTGGTATTGAATCATCTCATCCTCCTATTTTGTGGAAGCAACCAGCCGCAAAATTTTGTTTTGTTCCGTCAGACATTGAGTTGGAATCTTGGAAAGGCCAGTACGTGTGTTGGATGGTAGTGAAGCAGACAAACTTTCGCAACGACTTGAGAATGGAGAAAAGAATTATCTTGATCTAGGTCTCCATGTGCTCGCACCCCGCGATGCATCTTTCCTCCGTCCAAAATCCGCTTCTGTGCTACAATTCCGTATCAATGAGTGGATGATCATCTCCGCCATTTGATCTTACTCGCTTTCATGTTCACCACCTCGTTTTTGCACTTTCCACTGGGGTCTTAGCTGTTTAATGTCATGGTTTTATTACTAAAACCTCGAAATCATACCCCTCAGTGGGATTTCTTGCGCTAACTAAGTCCTGACTATGTATTTCAATATTGTATGGTTTGAGAATAAGGGTTGAAGTTCTTGGAGAGTGAGGCTTCTATGATAGAATGCTTTAGAGTACTGTAGCCAGTGGTATTCTTTATGTTGGTCAGGAGGCATATTATTTTGGCGCGTGGCAAACAGCGACTGCTTGTAAACCGAGAAAGTGCAGATGCTGTCGAACTTAATGTTTTATAGGCAGTACACTAACAGGGGAGCCAAGCTTAATAAGAATTGGCTCAAGCCCTAAATAGAAAGCTTCTTGGAAATTACAAATTCTTAGACCTCATTGAGGTCAATTATTCCGAATAGCCTCCTTTCCAACCCCATGCTTCCGCTATATCCTGTGATAGGTCATTTCTTTCACAGACATATTTTCACCTCTTGCGCCTCTACGAATAGAAAGTCCATCCCTTCGACATATTCTACCAACAAGTCTTAGCGTATGGAATTTGTTCAGTATCGTATCGTCCTCCTTGTGGTTTCAAAGGGTTGTCATCAGGGATCTTATTTGAATGACCAATGGGCTCTCATTCCTGATAATTAGAGGGGCTCTTTTCGTTGAAGACCGGAGAAATCTTGAGATACAAAATTAGGTAGCCAATCTGATACTTCTTACTTAGGCCTGCAATGAAAAGAGCTTACTTGCCTCTCTACTCAGCCCAGCCTATCTTGATAATTGGACGGTTTCTTTTAAGATTCAAAGATACAGTTGATACGACATAACTGCGATATCATTCGTCATCAACAGGTGGTTTGTATCTCACTGTTATCATCTCTTCTCATGTTTTGTTCACCGTGGATTTCCTACATTCAAATTAATGACAAATTAATGACAGCAAACATTTTGCGGTGTGTCTAGCGAGGATTGAGACATAAAGTTTCTTATTTCATTGTGGCTTCCCTGGCCATTCTTTGGGGACTTCTTAGATCTGTGGTATATCGAGGCATTGAATCCTTCAATGCTTCTCAGAAAACACGTAGAATAAGGGCTGCAAAAGTGGATTAGGTGTTTTATTAAATGCTATATACAATGGAGTTGACTATATCAATCGCTTTAATTATCTAAGACACCTAATACTCTTACCATGCTTTCTCTCTCTTTCTGAGCGTCCGTTCGAATCGATATTTTGATTTATTGCCAAAATAGGATTGGTGTAGTAATTTAGCGTTAATTTTGTAGGTTTATATAGTGCAGAGAAATACCTCTTTTATATATGCTGATCTAAGCTCTATTTCTAAGTTTTGTAGATCTATATTTGTGGACTCGATTTAGTAATATTTATGTATTTGGTAATCTACTGTGATTAATAATATAGCCTTATAAAGGTAATCTAGTATTTAATGAGATAGTATCCACAGGTTGTTCCACTCGTTGCTGCTTAGTGTTATTCACTTCTTAGGGTTGAGAAGAGCAAGCCTTCAAGCACTCTGATCACAAGGTGAACTCTCGTCTTACACTGAAACCTTCATTCCATGGCCCCCTTGAATGTTGTGTTATTAATGTAGTTGCAGGTGATTATCAATCGTAACCTGACTTTCATCCGAAGAGTGAATTATATCGTCAATAAGATTGGATATAACGGTTATTGTTATCACTTCAACTGTATGGCTTTGCTTTTTTGATCGTAGTGTATGTTGGATTATTCAAGACTCGAGTACGTTGTTATAGAATCTGTAGATCGAGGAGTGGAACATTAAACTGTTTAGACAAAGTCGAGTAGGCATATTTGATAATAAAGACTGGCTGCAGTGTGTAACTTCATAGCCAAGCAATCGAATCGGACTGTAGGAGTATGGCACAACCCTCAGTTATGTGAGCATCAAGATCGTAATTTCAATAACGGCCTTCTTCAACACTATACTTGTCGATTCCCCATCGTGTTCATTTGGTTTATGGTTGTAACGAGATACTGCTTTCGTGGTAACTCCGGCTCAGTTTCGATCTAGAGGTCATTGAGTTCGCCCTGAATCCTGCTTTCTTGTAATAAAAAGCCTTTCCATCCTTCTATATATTCAAATTGCTGATTTCAAGTTTTTTCATGCAGAATTTGCATTTTGCGAATGTGTTCCAAGCCTGTTCCATTGGTGGACGTTATGGACAATGTTACGGCAAAAGAGTGGGCGTTCTCGAGTAACCTTACTCGAGCACGACGAAAACCAGATATAAGCGCATGTTTCCTCGGCCTAGCCAATGCTAGCGGATTTTGAATGGAGTCTACCCTCTGGAATCGAATGTGTTCTTCGTTCGCGAAGCGGTAAGGTGTCTTGGTGATTTTATTTTTACTCGTTCATCGCGAGTTTTTTTGAGTGCAACAAGTATAATGTAGTCGAGTTTAAATGTCGCTGAATAGAATATTTGATGGTAATAGCTCCCAGCCCTGAAAGTAAAGTTTCATGTCTCTTTTGGAAAGTACCGATTTGAACATACCTAGCTCCAATACGTGTGGAAATTTTGATGACCACCTAAACAAATAACCTGAAAATACTGCCAGCTGATTTCATTGTGCGCAACTTATTATAATAATAACGTATGGTGTAAATTGGCGGGCCTGTGTCGAGAATCTTTCACGTTCTTATCCGGGGAGGTACTCCCTCCATATTCTTCGAGAGGGGTTCAAGTTTGTGAGATGCTGAGGCCGTAAAATCATGCAGATAAGTTGACAAGAAATAGATAACGCGGCAGTCGATTGAAGCGGTAACGAATCGATGATGACTAGCAGAGTCTTCTTTGGCATGTTGAGAAGAGCATGGAACTTGATCGTGGACGCTTCGATGGGCGACTCCGTAAGTGGTTCAGTGAGTGACTTAGCTGTCGGTTTAATATGATAAAGTGCGGTTGATTTGAGCGTGGTCGAATGATATCAGGGTAGGCTCGGTTGGGAAAGAAAAACCAGTCTAAGACGATATATCCACCCCTCAGATTTGCGTAATTTTGATCTCCCATTTTCCATCATATATAATTGTATGTCGTGTTTTTCGGATCCAGTTTGGCTGCACCTTTCTCGAGAAGTTTCGAAGGATTACTCAGAGAACGCCGTATGGTTTAGTCGATCGAAAAATGAAGCCGTGATGTGAAGGAAAGAGTACGGGGTCGATTAAGCTATTTAGTATCATAGCGCTAGTGTGTGGCTAGCATGAGTTCCAATAGATAGACAAAGTACAGACTGAGGTATAACTGTAATCAACAAGGCATTGCTGGGAGACAGCCTGGTTCTTATGCGATTTCGAGATTGCAGATCTTGGTGTTCAGCTTGTAGGGTTGGGAGAAGTGATTCACGTCATTACAATCGCGGCAAGGCCCTGATGTCACTAAATTCTCACCTGTCATATTAATCCCTAGTGTCTGTAAGTTCAATTTATTCACTCGCAAAACTCGAACAGCACTAATAGAAAAGTTTAATTTTTGGGCCCACAGGGATTAGGGGTTCAGAGACATTCAGAGCTCTAAATATCCGCTGATTGATATAATCATAACACAAA